GACAGTACAGGAAAAAATGTGTTCAGTCAATATTTGGAATAGAACACTTTAATTATCAGACTGTAGCATGGCTGTAGCTGTTTTAACTTCTTACAGTTTTGAGACCTCTGTTGGGGTGGATGAGCTTACATTCATCCATTGGGGATACTTTTGTTAAAGTTCTGAATTGTTCTCCCAACCATAAGATTTGCATCCCATTTCACTGAGAAAAATCACACTTTTAAACAGCGAATAACCAATAACACGTTAGCTTTAGACCCACAGCAGCCGTTAAGCTGTTTACCGGGAGAACGGGCTTTGCTCGGCCCCGTCTTATCATTCAGCTGAAGCTTTGGCTGCTTTCACATGCTGCTTGTGTTTTTGTTAAACATTAACCAGCTGTTTGTGCCCTGCCTAATGTCAACATAAGACATCAGTTTTTTCACATGTAGATTCAGTTCACTTTCAGTCAAACTATGTTGTGTCTGGTTCGGTCAAGTTTGGCTTAAGACTGTACTGTTTCATTCAGTTTTAACTCAGCGTGCCTTAGTTTTAGAAAAATGATGTCAAATGATCTCACAAGTCATATGCGAAAGTTCATCTTCGCATTCCTCTTTCATATCAGCAATTCTTTAAAAAAAAAGCAGAAGTGGTGGGTGTAATGGAAAAGGAGAGTCCCATGGCATGACTCTATTTTGGCTTCATTTTAAGCAGAAAGATGACAACATCAGGCCATTTGTTGTCCAAGAGATTGCTGACCGTGGCCCTTTTTCTACTGGCAAAAATGGGGAGTGGTTACGCAACACAGGGACAAGCATGTTTTCAATACTTTAGAGGAAAATGATACTGATTCTGATTAAGTAGAAACTTCATCTTCAACTCAGTGTTGGCTGCAAGTCAGATTATTGCGACCTTCCTGTACTAAATGTATGTGTCCCTAACAAGAACTAACACAGTTATACCTTTATGCAGGCATACAGTAGGATTGCTCATAAGTGGAACAAATAAAAAGGCCTGTGTTCCAGTTGGGGGGCACAGAATGCGTTGTTGATGAGACTGACTGATACTGATAACTCATTTGTCTGATTGCTGTTTCAGAAGATGACATAAAGCTTCTAGCTGAGACTCAAGAATGCTCCTGGAGAGAGTAAGTCTCCAGCCATTTTTGTCTTCTTGCACTTTGATTGAGCAAATGATTTACAGGAATAATAATAATTTGGTCATCACATGATCCATTTTTGCCAACCAAAACATCTTGACTGACACAGAGGTAGTGTCAAAAGAGCTTAAAAGGACCAGAATTCTGACTTCTAAGTCAACAGTATTGATGTTTGTGTCCTCTTTCAGACATGCATTCATCATATCAGTACTTTGGTTTTCACTTTGCCCACTCATGCTGCACAGACACCTTAACCCTGATGTTTGCATAAGTCAAAGTCAAAGCATTGTTGGGAGTTGACAGTTTTATTCAGCAGTTTGTGCACGAATGTGATTGTACCTGTTATTTCTTTGCAAGTCTTTGGTTTGTCCCCAAGTGAAGAACTATTTTTTAACCCAGTTTCTTTTTTTTAAATGTGGTTGGGGGACAGTCATGTGTTTTAAGACCTTTGCTCCTCTTTAGTTTGTGTGATGCCAGGGTCAAAACCTGGTTTTAGGAAGTGAGTCTCAAGCCTGTTTGCAATCCACGGAACTTGTGTCTTGTGATGAGGTGATGACAGGCTTTGACCATGTAACTGGTAGTTGTGCGAGTGGCATTACAATACAGGAACCAGCCCCCTTGACGTGTCTGCCTTCAGCCACACCCTTATACAAAGCTTCAAAGCCTCCTGATGAAGACTGAATATGCACGTGTTCTGATCGCCATAGCAACAGTGACATAGCAACAACCCACAAAATTCAAATTTGCACATTGTCATGGGCCAAAACAAGCGGCAGACAGCATTGTCCTTCTCTAATCAGACGAAGCTGGCATGTGCAGCAATTAAAAAAACTGTTGAATCCTTCCAGTTAAACGCATTAAGTAAAAAGCTCTCCATTTTATCCAAATGTTTGAGTCATTGACATTCCTTTGGGTTTGAAGATTTGTCCCCATTTTTTTCTAATTGTATGTTTTAGAGCTGTAAATCTATAAGTGACTATTGTGACTTTAAATGTTTTCCAATGTTTTTTTTGTGAAGTTTATCAATGAGAGAAAGAAAGAAAGTATAAGGACCTCTGAAGCAGTTAACACTCAGTCCATAAAATGTTCTGAAATCCTTGAATCCTACTGCTCCAAACAGTCTGAAAACCCCTGAATAGTTGTTGTTAACCTTACTTTTTAGCTTTTCACTTTCACCATATTACCCTTTTATGTGACACTTTTATTCCTTTGTGGTAAATTCAGGATCACATTCGAATCACAGTTAAACCCAGAAAATGACACAAAATAGCGTTTCACATGCTGTCTGCATTGCGATGACATAATTTCTTCTCTTCTTTTATCACAATAATGTGTTGATAAGAGGAAGTTTTGTCATTCTTGAGGCTTCTGAGTCTATCAGACCTTAGTTTTGACCTTGGTTTTAGTTTTTTCTTCATTAAATCAAGTGTAGCAAGATGGACATAAAACACCCCTCCTGTCTACCCTCCAAAACCTGGTTTAACTCTCTCCGTCCAATTCTGCCTGAGAGCAGCTTTTCATCATTGTTGTTTCGAATAATATTTCTCGACTTGGTCTTGTTTTCGCCAATTGATCAAAGGTAGAAACCCCAGTGTGACTGGAGCTGATAGCAACACTCTCTCCACAGGGGCTCGCGGGTCAGACCTCTGTTGTCATTTGTCTGACTGCAGCACTATTTTCTAATGTTGCACAGCTCCCAACTTTGGGTTGGGGACCACTCCCAGCTGACCTCGGGCGCCAGTCCATCGTAGGACCACAAATATGTATAATACTATGAACTGAACATATTTGTAACACACAGGGCCTGTCTATGTGCAACCCTCGCAGAGTTATTTTCACATGGCCCCTTGGCTCTAATAATCCCCCAAAAGCATCCACATCTGGAACATGTTTAATTGCATCTGGAACATGTCCGTATGGCTTCCTGGGAATGCTGCAGTGTTTTTTTTTACTGCAGAAACGAGTAACTTGAGGACAAAGATTTTTCCTCGGCTGCAGAGCAGGGTGCTGTTGAGAAAGGGCAAACATTGGGAAAGAAAGAGAGGGAGGGGTCTGCAGCGTGTGTGAAGAGGAAGGAAGAGGCAGTCTATATAAAGCCAGACAGTGGGATGGTAGCTGAGTGTTTACGAGAACTTTGTGGGAGGCCAGCAGAGGCTGAGCTGTGAGTACTACACGCAGAAAGCAGCCCAGTGTTGCAGCTTTACCAGAGTGCCCTTTGTATGTAGAGGGTATCTTCATGCTTTGATAAAAGAGGGTTAGGTTAGCTTACTTTAGCCTATGTTGTGTTTTTGTTATTTCCATCTATTGGGGAAATGGAAAATATGCAGGCTCCATGTCTTTCTGGGGGAGGATGGGTGCCATATTTTAAAATCAAGCAGTTTTCCGTGCATAGCTAGTACAACAGAAAGAGTTTCCATCTGAGTCATGCCAGTGGGTTTTTTATTTTCATTGAAAGTCATGTTTATGTTGACTTGCTTGCTGTCTTAAAAGTCTCTGGAAGTACCAGCTAATCAAAAGGGTTTTTGCTTTTCTTTTACTTTTGCTGGCAGGTCAAGAAAACCAAGAAGCTGCTCCTGGCGTGCACATGCAGGTGAAAGCATTCTGTATTCGGTGAGCAGCGGTGTTTGAGAGATCATGTCGGGGTCTGGGAACAAGCTGACGCTGCGGCGTGGCCTTACCTTTGTGACGGGCCTGCTGGAGTGCCTGTGTTTTGCTGGAGCTGTGTTTGGATGGGCTTCCCTGGTTTTCGTTCTTAAGGAGGAGGGATACTTCAGGTCTCTGTGTGTCAATGCCACAGGAGTCAACAGCACACACACTTTAGGTAAGTTTGATGTCTTTATGTTCACTACTTTGACTTCCAAATGTAAATATGCAAAAGTTTGATATTCCTTTAGCTGTCACTGTTCCTCAGAATGACCCTTTTTTGTTTTCCTTTCTTTGTGCTTTTTGTATTTGCCCACAGACTGCAGTGCACAGGATGAGCAGTTCTCCCTTATTTTCACCATCGCATCCTTCATGAACAATTTCCTCACACTACCCAGCGGTTTCCTCTTTGATCGTTTCGGTACAACTGTTACTCGGCTCTCTGGAATGTGAGTACATCACCTTGATCTCTTGTCAAAGAATGATAAAATGGCAACGTGTTACATGCCAATCCATACAGCTAGAATTACCATTAGTAGACTGTACAGTGTACAGAGAGTTGATGGTTACTGAGGGCCAAGTTGGGGCTACAGCTTCATTCACTTTTATGACAGGCTTAGAGAACAGACACATATTGTCAGTTAGCTGTCCATTTACATTGAAATTGCAAAGAACGGTGCAGATCATGCTTAGAATAAACCTACAGTCAGTAACAAATTATTTGCCTTTCATGAAACTGGAGCAGGAAGGATCAGGGAGAGGAAATAGATACAGGTGGACATATAAATCCTGCCTTTGCAGCATCCTCCTGTTTTTTGCATTGTTGGCATGCCTCAGGAGTTCAGAATGAATTCCCCTGTGGGCACGGAGTCTAAAAGAGTCAAATGAAAAAAAGTTAACCTTTTTTGGTTTAAAATCATCTGTTCCTTATGAGGTTGTAAAATTAGATCAATTCAACCTCAGAGAACGTCAATAAATGACTTATTACAACGTTTCGTCATGTACATTTAATGTAGACAAAGATGTAGACGTATTGTTTTGAAAAAACTTCGTAGATGGTCAATTTTGAGCTGTGGAGAAACAATAGAAGTCATGCACTTGTCAAATGCACTTAATCAATTCATTATCAAAAGTTTAAAAAAAAAGTGAAATGTGAAAAAAGGGAAAAACATTTTAGTCAGTTTTTTGTTCACAGAAAGCCATGGAGGAAAAATAAGTTTACAAAGGCAATTATTGTTTGAAAGGTTATGAGGTTATGGATAGTAAATCTTGCATTTGGTAGAACTTTTAACCGGATAGTTTCTTTATTGACAGCTAGTTTATTTGTTCTTAATGCCCGTTTACAGATTGAAAGAAATTTTAAGTTGTTGTTGGTTAACATGCCGCGCATTCCCATGCGTTACTAACTTGTGGCCATAACCTTTTGACCTCGTGGTCATGCTTTGCAAAATCCTGGCTGTGGCTTTCCCATCAAAACCACCATGAAGCTCCCACATGTGGCAGCATTAAAGGGAAGGGGGTGATAATCACTGGCTGCAAAAGAACAACCAAAAAAGGTTGTTCATTAATTTGGAAATAGAACATCAGGAGCAGGGTATAACCAGTAGTCTTCATTAATGGATTTGATTTATGTAAATTGACTAAAGGTCATATGGTTAAATCCAAATGACAACAACAACAAAAAAGGTTTATCGGGCATTGAATATATCACTCAGAGTAACTGATAACTGGATGAAGCACCATGGCATAACTTTTCAGGTGCCCTTATGGCAAGGAGTCTGGAAACATGTTCCATATGAAATGGCAGCTGAATGTGCTTTACCAAGGCATTAAGATTCATCTAGAAAATAAAAAACAGCTATTTGAATGTGTAAGATGGAAAAAAAGATTAAAAACTTAAAAAAAGTTCAAACAGTGTAGTAAAATTAGACTAAAATGGTCTTCACACAGTTCAAATTGTGGCCACAATTGAATGGTTCAAAGATTCAGTAAGGTTTTACTTTTCCAGTTGAATTAGTTCTCTCACAAACCTTATTTATAAGATAAGGTTAAATGGGTTTATCCATTGAAAAGTTGCAGATGCTGAACATTTTCCAGAGTGTAATTCCACTGTCATTTGCCAAGTACTGACTTCCACATACTCATTAGCTAAAAGCATCTGCCATATCATCAATGTGCTCTCAGATAGAACTGCATTATCAGGTCAGTGCCAAAGCAAGTACCCAGCTCCACACATCCATTTGCCTGCCTGGGAAATCTCTTCCCAGGCAGGTTTTGGGCGAAAAATGCACAAGAAGTAGTATGCACCTGCAACAGAATGTTCCCCACTATTCCCCACAGATTTAATTGATAATTTTAAGTTTGCTTTTTCGTTTTTGCTATTATTTGATTGTTTGTCTCCTGCATTTTCCTGTTAGGGAGTTTCAAACCAGTTTTCTTCAACTAACAGCTGTTTTCTCAAAGGGTGGGATCAGAGGATATAGAAGTGATTATAGAGAGGGCAGGACGTTGCATTGTTAAGGTTTCTATTCATGTGAAATGTGTTTGTGGGGATAAATATACAGCCCATGCTCCCGTGGAGGTAAAGGAATGGATCAAATAGCTGAATATGAAAGGAAGGAGCACGTTAGCTGTGCGGGGCTCACACCAGCCAAACACTGGGATTCATCAGGGAAAGGGAGCAGAAATTAAAACAAGGCAGGAAAGTTCAATGAAATGTCAGATGTTTAAAAGATTCCAAGAGCAGATGTAAAAAAATGTTTTTTTAGTAAAAGTTCAGTGCCATTAATCACTCGATACGGGAATGTTGGGTGGAGGTGTTTTATTTCAGTGACTCAATTTCCCATCTCCCAAAAGTTCATATCTGACATAAAACAGCACATAATTGTAGAATTAGCCCTGGTTATGTCATAATCCACAATAACAAACCGGCATCAGGATGAGCCATATGTTTCCAGTTAAAGTGGGTGGAGAGAAAAGAAATAGTTGAGGAATGCAAATACTGAACAAGAGGAGTCAAATGATGATAAGGATGATTTGTGCTTAAGTCTGGACAAGCAAAGGAAATTATGATCTGCTGTAAGTCCACAAATCTCTGTGAGAAATATGCCTTTTTCTTTTCTTACTGCAAGATGTTTCATTCTTAAAACATGCCATAAGTTATTTGTTTTGTGATTTTACACATTCCTCTTAAGCAATACTGAAGTTTAAAAATGAACCTTTCTCTCTTCAACCAGTTTTCTGTACACCATGGGTACTTCGATGGTGGCCTTCTCTTCATCAGGTAAAAAACAACTGTCCAAATACTTTTCCCATAACACCAAAAGCAGGGACAGGTTTTGTTACAGCTGTTTCTTATTCGCGCATCAGTTTTTGCCTACCTGCTCTTCCCTGCTCTCTCCCTCCTGGCTGTCGGCGGCATCTTATTTCTGATCACAAACATGCAGGTATTGAAAACTCTAATCTTTTGATCATTCTGTTCATGAATCACTTTTTGCAAGCGGTCCATTCTCATTTCTGTGCTGTATCACTTAGTGTCAAAACGACTCACATTGTACCTCAGTGCAACTAAACACAAATGTAATTTCTCCTGAACAAGACAGCAGGGATAGAATGATAAATATGTGTAAGTGTAGAAAAAATACAAACGATACAGAAAAAAATGCTAGTGAACAGTGGAACTTTTTTGCAAGCAAAGTTGACAAAAAAACAAAGGAATGGCTTAGGAAGAACACAGGAGGGGCCTTTGGATCTGAATGGATCTGAAAACAGTGAATCATCATCATTTAAACTATTCTGCTCTTTTTCTGGATCCCTGCCTGTGTACTAACAGCAAATATCCCCCTCCAGGGAAAAATAGGGATATGCACATGACCAGGAACCCCTTGCTAATTTTGAAAGGAAAGGCTTTTTAAAGGAAAGCGCTCTGGGAAGTCTTGTGTTCAAAGCTTTTTTTAGAAGTGAAAGTTCTGGCTGCATTAGATGTGTGATCTCACAGTTGTCACATTGTAAAAGAACCTGGTTTACCCTTTGTGTGCTTGTGCCGGCGTCTGCGCTGAGGTCCCACAGAGCTTATGATATTTTAAGGGGGAGAACACAAATCCCCTGAGGATATCCATCACGTTCAGTGCACTGGATTTGTGTGCTGTTCACATTCACAGCTGCAAGAGGCCTTTTTCCCTATTCAGCATGAGTCTGTTTTCTCCCCAAAGGTTGGAAATCTGTTTGGCTCACGTCGCTCCACCATCATCACTTTGTACAATGGGGCTTTTGATTCCTCCTCAGCACTCTTCCTCATCATCAAGGTGACAAACAGGCAGACAGTATATGATTAATTAAAATGACTGTGATACCATCTTCTGAACTTTTTGCTTATCCTTTTTTCCTGTTGCAGTTGTTGCACGAATCTGGCGTCTCTCTTCGCGCCTCCTTCCTCTTTCTGTCCACCTGCAGCATCATTCACGTCCTCAGGACCTTCTTCCTGTTGCCCCGAAAGTTCATTCCATACCCGCTGCCTGATGACTACACATACGGGTATGAACAGAGCCACTGACACCAATATCTGAATGGGTATATCAAGTATAAATCAGACATAGCAGTCATAGATATATAAAGCAGCAACACTTATATGTTTGACAGCAAACACTTAATTCAAGAGAAATAAATGATGATATTAAGTGTAACGTTGTGGCTGGAAGACCTTAACTTTCAGCTGAAAGAATACTGAAAAAAACGTTTAAAAAATTGGTGCATCTAAATTCTTTCATTCCTATTCGGACCGTGGCGCCGAAAATGGCTGCCTCGGTGTTTTCACCAAAGCAAATTCCTTGTATGTGAAAACCTACTTGGCAATAAACCTAATTCTGATTCTGATTCTGATTCTGTTAAAGGCTACGAAATACACACCAATTTCTCCAATAAGTTTAAGAAGTGTTTGCAAAATTAGCTCCTTTTTGCTAGTAAGTAAAATTTTAAAATAGAGAAGGGAAACAGTTCTGCATGTTTGTGGTCAAATCAGTGAAAGCCCAAATTCTTCAGTGCAAGTTCTTCCACTACCAGTACAAAAATGTGACTTAACAGGAAATGTGCTTGGCTTGTGCAGGACAGGACATAACTTCAGAATGACCCACCCTTGTTAAATTACTGTGGTTAGTGTAACTGATAAGCGTACTCATTTCAATGGCAACATAACCAGGCTATGTAGAAATAAAAGCTTTTAAGGCCTCATTACATCCCTTGACATTGAAGGAATATCACCTTAGAGCAAAACATTTCCACTTTTATCAAAAGTCTTGAAAGTGACTGTACAAGTGATTTGCCTTAGCAGCAAGCTTATAAAAGCAGCATCAAAGTAATTTGAATACGAACCTTATGTTGGGGGGGCAAAAAAACTAATTGGATTTATTGCTTCATCAAACTCAGTCCCTTACTGTCTTAAATCCCTGGTTGTTGTATTAAAACAATTTTTTTTTCATTACTTTCTTCCTAAAATATTTGTTATCTCCCGCTCTGTGATTGTAAAGTGAGTAATTGTTTCATGAACCCTTGGCAGGATAACCTGCAACAAATCAGACACCGTGAGTACAGAGGTGGTGGCAAATGGACATGCAACTACAGCAGAGGAAACGCTGCTCAACAAGAACGTCCCTGTGCAGAAAGGTTTGCATATGACGGTCCCTAGGAAATGTAAAAGAATGAAATCATTTCAGATTTCATGTACCTAGGTTTGTTTCAATTCCTATTTGCCTCACTGACTTGTTAGCTGTGTTTCTTCTCTCAGAGAGGAGTTTTCGGGAGTGTCTGCTGTCCAGGTTCTTCGGCTGGCACCTGCTGTGGCTGTCGGTGATGCAGCTCAGACATTACCTGTTCATTGGCACCCTCAACCCCATGTTGCAGAGGCTGACAGCTGGAGAGTCCACATTGGGTAGTCACATACCAAAACACAATCAAACATTGCGACAGGTTCTCTATGGACCAGTTATAAGTTTTGTACCCTTATAAAGACAATCGGCAATTAAGAGTGATAATCATAAGCTGCCGCCAGGCATAGTGAGCTCTACTTCCAGCAGTGAGAATATGGTTGTTGTTCATTACACTGACATCCGAGCATGTGTGATGCTATAAATCAGAGTTTGTAAGCGATGCCGGCAAAAGAATGCTCGTTGCATAAATTAAGAAGTCATTTTACTTTGCTCTGTTGATACTTTTCCCCCATTCAAACCACAGTGACCCTTCATTTAAAAGGTATTCAGCACCCGTGCCAAAGATATTCTGTATTTTAAATTAATGCATTCTTAGCTATAAAAAGCATCAGACTTTTAGCACTTACTGGAAGTTTATCTGAACAGCAACCGGAAATGTAAAAGAGATACACCCCGGAAATGACTCAGCATTTTGACTGTTTTTTTGTAGGGAAAACATTGTATTCAAGACAAACAGCTCCACTGCTTGTAAAGCTTCATGCGAGTTTCCACGTTTGCTATTAACGCTTAAAGTTGAACCTGACATGCAGTTTGAGTAAGGTGCTGTGAATGGCAGTCTCCCTTAAGACTAAAACCTCAGCCCTCCTTTTTTTTCCTTTTTTTTTTTTTGGTCTGTAATGTTCAATTGTGGAAGATATGTCAAACAGCTGTTGTGCATCTTGTGTGTCTGCAGTGAGCCAGTACACCAACGCGTTCGCGATCACCCAGCTTTGTGGGGTACTCTGTGCCCCCTGGAATGGCCTCATAATGGACCGACACAAAAGCAAACCGCGCGCTGCAGGTACTGCTGCACAGAGGGTTATCCCACATAGAATAGACCACCATCTTCCAGCGTGGCATTGCATGTTGCACTTACGGCTAACTGGAAGAGAGAAAGTCTTCTCTTTTGCCCTGGGGTGTGTTTGCATTCGTGTGTGTGTTCTGATGTGTGCTCATAGGGGAGACGGAACTGGAGGTGGACCTGCGGGCCTCCGTGCTGTCTCTGTCCCTCACTGCGCTGCAGTGTGTGCTGTTCTCTGTGTGCGCCTCCACCCCGTACCTCCCCCTGCAGTACCTCACCTTCGTCCTGCAGGTGCTCAACCGCTCCTTCCTCTACGGCGGCAACGCGGCCTTCATCAGCGTGGCGTGAGTGTCAAACAAAAACACACACGTGTTTATGGTAACAACACAGAGAGCGTGACAGCAGAGGTCGTAGTGCTGAAAAAAATTAGAACAGGATTAAAAGATTTCTATGTATCAAGAATCAGGGCCAACGCCGATTAATACAATTTAAAAGTCTTATTAGGGTCATATTTGTTATGTAGATGTTCACAAAGCTCTTCGTTTGATACGTACACGAATGCACTTCTTTTCCAGTGTTCATCGTGGTGTATTTATTTACTTTATTCTGTCCATGCATTTTGTGTTGCACTGCTTCTCACAGATAGAAATATTCTGCGTGTTTTTGCTTTTTCTGTGTTTTTTTCTGCATCTGAGATTATTTTTATTATTCCCAAACAGGCAATTTTTCAAATCTGACCAGAAAATTATTTTTCTTGTTAAACTGAACTTTGGAAAAAAATGAATTGTTTGTTGAATTATTTCATTTTAGGGTGAGCCTTTCTAATGCTGAGCTTCATTTTCATTTTGATTTTGGGTGTAGTTTCCCATCTTGCCACTTTGGGAAGCTGTATGGTCTGGTCATGGCTCTGTCTGCAGTCTTTTCCCTGCTACAGTATCCCTGCTTTGCTCTGGTGAAAGGAGCTCTGGATGGAGATCCCTTATATGTAAGTATACTTATTAGTCTCAACTTGCCTTCATTCTCTGAGCATTCCTCCTGTGACAGCCTCTCCTCTTTATGTTACTGCAGGTGAACATTGGCCTGACAGTGCTCAGCCTACTGGCCTTCATCCATCCCCTCTCTGTCTATCTTCACTGTAGAAGAGTTGCCTCCGAGCGAGCCAAGACCAAACCTTCCACCAACAACTCTTAAAGCGCTCGAAACAAAAAGCAGTGAATTGCTTTTAGCTGTAACCATAGTTTGTACTCACATGGCTGTGTCAACTCAGTGCACAGTTGGAAGACATACTGTCAAAATGTACATTGAATGTCAAATGTGACCCAAAATCTGAGGAGGTTGGGACTTTATGAAAAATCATTCAATATGTTAATATGTGCATCCATTTTTGCATTTGTCAAAAGGAAAATTTGATCTGTGAAACTTAGGCAACTTTATGTTGCTATTCCTTCAACGCTAAACACTGAAGATACCCAAGCAATGAATCTCTTGGAAACACGTTTAAAATTATCCACACAATCTCAAAACCCTTTGAGTGTGTTGATGTGCCTGGAATTCTATATACATACACTTTTTTTTTAAGTTTACTTTCACTTGAAAGGTTTTGAATTTGATTTCATTCCAAAAGGGACTTATGCAGTGGCTGAATTTTGAATACAATGTAATGCTTTAATGTAAAAATAACCGTTTAAAAAATACAAGAATATTTCCTACACCTTACCCAAACCGTTAAGGGAATAACCATGTTTCTGCTGCAGTATTTCTGTAGAGGCAAAATGAAGTGAATGTCCTAATAGAGTAATTTTAGTTTTATAGTGTAGTTTTTCCAGCACTTGTGATCCTACCCAGATACTGTAATTTGGGAAGGTTATTTAAAAGTTGTTACTTTTATCCTTGTACTTTTAAGGTCTTTTTCTTCCCATTAATTCTTGGGAGTTTCATGCAACATCTGAAAATACAAGCCACTTTAAATATTTTAATCATAAAGGGAATAAAGAATCAAAGTGCAGCTATTTAGAGAATTCCTGGTTAGTTTCAAAATGACACTTTGAACCAGAATTTAGGGAATCCTTCATTTCACACAGCTGCCACCTGTAACCACAGCAAACCAGTTTCATTCTTTGTCAAGTTGAATGTTTACAGGATTACGTTTTCCTAAATCAGTGTTTTGATTAATGTAACTAGGAATACAACTTCCTAAAGACATGCAATTAAAAGTTACAATTGTCCAACACTACAGTTCATGTACTTTATGGACTCAAGTTCAAACTCCTATTATGCCAGAACGTCCTTGTTCATAGTACCTAGCAGATGGCATTTAGTTCCCTAAAAGGTCAAAAGGCTTAACTTGCAAAGGCGTTGTGAATCAAATCACCGATATTTCTGTAAGTTTGTGAAATTACTCAAGACTGCAAGTTAAAGTTAAGAAAAACCAGGCTGTAGTTTGCCAAAAAGAATGGCGAGTCAAATAAACTGGTGTATTTGTTTTTATTAGAACATTGCAGAGTCACCGTTAATGTCCAACCTGGAAGGAGAGCCAAGTTAATGTAATTATGAGGTGGGCATTTGAGGGGGGGGGGAAAAACAAACAAAAAACCCTTACCTTTTAGTCACCATGTTGAGGAGCCTTCAGATCTACCAAGCTCCTGGGAACTTTTTCTGCTGGCCAGAACCTTGGTCGTCACTGACGTGCTCTTTCAAGTAGTGGATTTCCTGAGAGTAGTCTTTGCCCTTCTCGTTCTGCTGGCTGAAGGTGCTGTAGGTTCCGGGCGGGTACTGACCATACAGTAGCCTGTAGTCGAAGTTGGGAAACAGAGAGCCCCGGACACCAAACTGTGGCACAAGCACAGTTGGGGATCTCGGTCCAGACACCTGACGGTCATCTGGGTAGCTGAATTCCTCCGTCTGCTGCTGGTAGTTACCCAGCTCAGCTTCCTTCACCACACTGGAAGTCTCCCCAGACTGGAGGCCAGGTGCAGTTTCTGGCTGAGGGGGTGAAGGAAGAACATCCCTGAGGTTCAGAGACTGGGTGTTACCTGATGCATCCAGGCCAGATAAGTCCTGGGGAGCAACAGCCCAGGCAGTGTCTGAGGGTTACAGAGAGTCAGGATTAGGACACATTTTAGCCACTTTCACCATGCATCAGAAGACACCTTACCTTCCATTCCAGCTTGAGGAGCTCCAAGTTGTGAGGAGCCAGCATCATAGCCGACAGCAACAGGGACATAAGTGAGAGGGGCAGCAGGGTATGCGGCTGCAGGAACAGCAGAGCCATAACCGTCAAATCCTGGACCAGCTTGAACAAGCTGGACACCAGAAGTCTGCACACCCAGCTGTCCTGGCACAAAGGATCCAGAGCCACCGAATGTTGGGACTACTTGAACAGCAGCTTGAGAGAGACTGGGGTCTGGCACAGCCACCTGAGGCTGCACAAGTGAGCCAGAGCTGACAAAGCTTGGTGCCATCACAAGAGCAGGCTGACTCACTGCAGGAGCCACAGGAAGCACAGACACAGAGGCACCGCCGTAGGGTGCAGATGCAACTGGCCTTCTGGAGTAAGAGCCAAAGTTAGCTGCAGCATTTGAGCCACTGCTGCTCTGGTCTTTTGAGCCTGGGTGCGAGAGAGAGCACGTTTAACAAGCAGTGATGAAGCATAACCGTGTTTAACTGTAGTCAATAACCTTGTCTACACACCTTTAAAGGGAGCACCACATGTAGTCACAATCAGCAAGGCAAAGAGAGGAACCCTGGGGATGGGACACATTTAAATAAAGCTTTTAGTAATGGGCCAGATATTGTAACATTCCCAATGCAAACTTCCCAAATACCTCAGGAAGAAGCCTGCAGTCATCATAGTGATAGTCAGCAGTAAAGAAAACACTACAGGAGAGAGCTTTTGAGTGTTGCTAGAGACTGACTCTGACCAATCAGAGCTTGATGACCAAACAATAGGCACCTGCTGTTGAGGAAAAGCCAATCAGGCTTTGGCAGTTAATTGAAAAGAATAACAGACCATCATTACTTACATGTTGACCAGTTTGAACAATTAATTAATTTCTTCTACTTGCATTTTCATAATGATGATGATACCATCCTTACATTGGCTGAGCACACATTGGTGTGTTTGTTATTGCTACTATCTGTCATCAAAATCTATTTTCTGCTGTGGAATTTAATGCAGTTGTGACAAACTTAGTTTGACTTTAACTCTAATATTCTCTAAAACGTTATAGAGGTAAACATGTAGCCACTCCATTGCCCCTGGAAACAGATTAAGTTATTATTCAACGATTTGTCTCATAATTTCACGGCCTGATATAATGAGTGAGATATGCACTTAAGTGAAGAATCTTATTTTAGCACTTGTTTTTCTCTCAATCTGGATTAAAAACAGGGCTTTGAGAACCTCACTAAAAGCTCTTCTTACAGACAGCAGTGTGAAACTTTTTATTCTACAAACTGCTACGTCCATCCAATGGACACATTTCTATGCAACAGCAACATATTGGAATATGTCATGTATGTTTCTGATAAGTTTGGTTTCAAACTGTTCATGTTATTTCATTAATGAAAGAAGTACAGAAATAGACTTTGCTGAAACCATTACTGATGAACACTTTTTTGGGGGCCATAAGTAGTACTTTTTGGAGCCTCTGTAGTATTTGGTATTTGGAAAAGTATCTCTGAAAGTAAGTGGTTTCAGAGACCATAGCATGCTTACATCATCACCTCGGATTTGTGCTCCCATCTCTACGTATTTGATTGTTTGATTACAGAAGAAACACTTCACACTATCCCACTAACAGATGTTAATGAGTGATTATATAACAAATGTATATGTCGCTGTAAGTGTCTTCCCTCCTTGACGCTGTGTTTCCACAGTGACTGACTTGGACTCTTTCAAAAGTTGTAGAAAGCTTTTTGTGGCTCCAGGGGGAGCTGTACTAAACATTATGAAGAGCTGGAGTATGCACATGAGTTTTAAGTTTGGAAATTGAGAATCATGACCTCCAGGAAATGTTCAAGAAAGTGAGAACAGGATAAACTTCATATGAGCTTTAGCAGTAAAAATGGATGAGACAAGTGCAACCTAACCAGCCCAAACTAAAGAAGTATTGCATAAACATGAAAATGAATTTTAAAACCAAAAACAGAAAGGTAATTCTACTTTGTAATTATGTGTCCTCAATGACGTTCTCAACTATAGGAAATATTATGAATGATGTTTGAATCTGAACATTTCTGAAGACAGCTTCATAAAACAGATTGGAGTGCAGACAGCTGGCTTTCAGGCTGTCAGTTTTCTTCATCTATTTATTGGATTCGTTTTTGTTTTTCTTAAGCTATTTCTAATTGGGCATGAGGGTCTTGGGGAAAATATTCTAACAGGCACACTCCTCCACAACACTTGACATGCCGAAACAGACACAGAGCCAAAAAAAGATTTGATGCCTCCCCGCAAACTGTGTCACATCAAGACTTGTGTCTGTGCGTGTGTGTCCACGGAGAATGTGCACTGTGACAGGTTCCTCCCTTGCATCTGCGTCATCGATGATCACAGCTACAGCATCATGCCAATTTAAAAATAAATACTTGACAGAAATAGAGGAGAAGCAAGGAGGATGCAAAGATAAAAATAAGACAATCTGTTGATAAGGGGAGTTTTCCATATGAACGTTTAGTCTTTTTACATACAAGCATCCTGCTTACTCAATCTGCCTACTGAATTGGCTGTTAACTAAGAGAGAAGGTTTTAAAAAAAAGATGCCACCATGTTGATTCTCAGCTGCAACAGATGGATAAAGATATTTGTCTCTGAAAATGAGTGAGACAGCAGAAATATTGAGCTTACTAATGGTTGCTAGTTCAACCACAAACAAAAAATAAAACTTCACTAGGCAATAGGTATATAAATTAACAAATAAATACAGATAATAAGGATAGACGTATACAAAGACAAAGAAATGTAGAAATGTTTGCATCTGTACACATGAAAATAAACAACACAATTGAGGCAAAGTACTTCAGTGTACTTTTATGAGGAGAATTATTTTAATAGGCAAGGCTAGGCAAGTTTATTTGTATAGCACATGTCGTATACAAGACAATTCAAAGTGCTTTACAAAGAATTTAAAAGCAGATAAACAAAGAAAGAAAATGAATCAACAAAATACATTAGATAGATAAAAAGTGAAGGGTGCAGATAAAATACATTACATTTCCAGGAAATATTTCCAAGAAAAATATGACAGTAGGGAACATTCAGATCTAAAGAGCCAAAAATTACACTTTGCCAGTTTTGTGCTGTCCAGTGTGTCAGATTACATCCATGTTAACAAAAATCAAAACGATATGATCTGAGGTGAAGGGGAATAATGGGGTGACGTCCCTGTTGTCCGGCAGCAACATAGCTGACACTGTCACAAAGCTCACCAGCAGGTAGAACACAGATTATTATATATTATCATTAGCTCAGCATCCAGGGTGTATGCACGGGATTAGATCATTGGACCTTTACACCATACCTAGCACTGTAATGTCTCCTCCTTCATGTTTTAATCCTGTCCGCTTTTTTCTGTCTGTCCACGTAGACTTAAAGTTTTGCTCCAAGCATGGGAAAGTGCACATGGTGTAAACCCTGAAACATTGCTTTAAAGAGAGGTTATCACCAATCAGTTCAACGGACAAGGAAAATCTGACAACAGAACATGTCAGGTAATATGAATGAATCCTTCAGCATCCTATCATTGTGAAGACCCTGCTGAAAATGGTATTATGACAAAAGCTGGTCATTCTGTTCTATACACACTAAACTAATAATGCCTGTTGCATGTCACAGTTCAGGAAAATGTTTGTGTATTTCATCTAAATAAGTTTTTTAAATCAGGCCATTTTCAACTGGACAATTTTAACTCCCTATCCAGCCTAGAAACTTTAAAGGTCTTTAAAAGGTCTTTACAGCCATATATTAAAATTGTTTACCAAACACAAACTTTTACACTGCTTCTCCTCTGACACTAAATATCAAATGATTCATTGTCTTGTTAACAAAGTCTTGACAGACCTTTACTTTCCCGAATAACACCCACATTTTGTGTGAATCACTTCACACTGCATTTAATAGCTCTGATTTCAAAGGATTATTGAACTCAGCATGCTTAGATAGCATATTGGCCTTACTATGAAATTCCACACGAACTGAACCCTGACACATGATTTATTAGAGGGCAAGTTCAAACATCCCCAAAACTTAAATAATTAAGACTATCGTTTTTGGAAAGAAGTCAGTGTCATAATACCTCAACACGGTTTGAAGTGGCTTCTGAAGTCTTCTCTATGATTCTCACTGTGCACCCGATGGGGACAAACACACTGTGTGTGTGCTTGAGGGGGTGGGGGGTGAATGATGGACAGTCAGAAACATGTTAATTTAGAATTAGAACAGATACATTGAACATGTTGTGTTTACACCAGTTCAGATGCCAGAGCCCCAATGATTCACTTTGTCACAGGAGGCGAGCCAGAGAATATGTGTGTGCATTGATACATACATTTATGCATTTAATTTGTCACTGCGCACACATCAACACGTGTGTCCAACGTTGACCACAATGAAAACGCGCACACGAGCACAAACCGTGTCCAAAGTGCCAGTTTGGACATGGATGAATATTGTGAAAGGGGCACCAAGAACCTCCTACATTCACACAACGTCCTCGGAGATGCAGACTAGTCGGTGGGCCAGCTGCCTACCCCCGCTACTCTAAGGCCACTGTGAATACATTATACGCGCACACACACTCGACCTTATCAGTTCCACAGCCCCCCGCGGAGGCTGCCTGCTTGGTGAGCTGTCTACCTCCCCCACTCAAAACGCCGCCGCCAAAAAGTCATGATATTCCAGACGCGCCATTTACTCCCTGCGCTGTGCTCCCAGCTTGGAGTTGCAGATGACCTTCCGTGGAGCAGGTTTTGGTGAGTGTGTGTTCACTTGGGAACAGATGATGTGCATCACGGTGGACCGGGCCGTGACCCGTGTCACTTGAGGAGGAGTCACGAGTGACTAAAATCTGGCCCACTCTTTATCCTGACATTGTTTATTTCACATACACAAGACCTCCATCCCATGTTCCCCCCCACCCCCGTACACACACAGCACCTTCCACCCAAAATGTTCTACACAGCACACGAAGCTGCTCATCAGTCAGACAGCCATTAATGATGTGATTCTATGAAGTCTGACAATTACTTCCATGGCACAAACAAGAAAAAGATGCTTGCTGTCTAATAGAGCCTAAACACACCCACAAATTGGACTGTGTTACTTTGACAATAGGGTCATGAAAAATGACTCTTTGTTCTGTGATTAATGTAACTTGCGAAGCATTATGTACTGTACCGTAGAAATTTGTCATTGTCCTATCATCTCTCTCCTCCTCACACAAATGCAATCTGTCCGTATGTTATGTTAGATCACTTCGCTCCACCGCTGGGTTTCCCTTTCGTGTTCATCTGCTCGGAGTTGTGGGCAGCTCTCGGCTTCGGTCCAAGTCGGCCTACACTGAAGAGGAATGGTATTTAGATTTTGGAGCCAAGTAAGTTTTCTCACCTCCTCTTCCTACTCTCCTGTGTGAGTGCATGTGCCACAGGTGAAATCAAAAGCATTTCTAATTAGCAGCAGCCTACAGTAGCTGAAACAACCTGGCTGCTTTCCAAGAACAAGCGAGGATGTTGGAACCAACAATCTCCAACTGACCTGCAGCATTCACTTGCATCCAACTGTTCCTCCCACATTACTTTGTCTCAGATGAACACTTGATGAGTTACTGCAACAGGCAAATTGAGTGTATTTGTCTTTAAGCCTGGCAAAAAAAGCCACCATTTATTCCTCTTTGGCAGAAAGTACTGTGTCTCATAACGCTCTCAGTGACCACCTGCACAGTAACAAATGATGAGGAATACATCTATGCACCATTAAAAGACAGTGACCAAAAGCTCCCTTCCACTGCCTTTCTGGTCGCTTCCTCCGGCGGCTCCCACCCCTCCTCTCCAGCTGACGTAGAGGGATCCTTCGCTGCCCACGACTGTGGGCGATGGCAACACAGCGAATATAAACGGCTTCCCGGGACTCCAAGGCGTCACTGCTTGAAGCCGCAGCGACTCGGTCACCAGAGCTGAATCCCAGCAGAGATAGCAGCAAGCAGGCACTTCCACGCCGCGCAGGCTAACTCGCTTTCGGCTTTGGTTCGACATGGAGGCTCGGTGGACCGCAAGATGCTCCGGCACGCGCAACTTTAAGAGTAAGTACCTCACAGCCTGGCACCAGCTGCATGTCTACTTTGAAAATACAGCCACGTGTTTTCAGCTGTCTTGTTTGTTTTACTGTTAAGAGGAATTCTTAAGAAACAACGTTTTGAAATGGTAATGATTAGAATTTTCACATGTTGGTTTTTAGCGTACATGGACACTTTTTACGCACAAACTCTTCGCCTCTTTAAAACCCTTTTGACATCTCGTTCAGCGTAAATTTAAATGGAATGTATTCGTGTTTGATATTATTTGTGTTAGCAGCACTTCTAATATGCAAGAAGTTCTCACTTTTGGATAAGTTAATTACGTGGTCAGACTTTAAACATGTTTATTCATGATGTTTCTTTTTAGATCTCTTATTATGATATTTTTTCAAACTCTATTTCCTATTCGTTTTGTTCAGACAAAACGTACTTGTGACAAATAAGAGCAAAACTGCCTTTCCAACCTCACTGTTTACGCGCGGCACAGGACTTACAGCATGTGCGCGTCATTCTTGGCAACTCACGTGAAAGAAAGTCTTTTCGTGCAAGAAGTCTGAACCTTTCCTCTCTTCATTCTGGTCAGCGGTTTAGCTTGTAGGTCAAGGGGTTAGAGACTGGAAAATCTTGCGCACAAAAGATGAATGGGAACTTCATTTCTATTTAATGCATGCCGTTTTCCTACGTTGTCCGCTTATATTCATTGTTATTTGAGCCTGCCAAGAGCGTTAGAAATTATTGATGAGAACAGAACCTGATCTAGGTCGGCCAACCCATGTGTCGTTTATGATGGCACACCGCCCAGAGGAAACATCCTTTTGGTGTAAAACTAGAACGAAGAAACCAGGTTAATGGAATGGGGCGAATCACGTGAGATCTCTTTCTCTCTTTCTTTTCCTTTTGGAGGTTTCTTGGTTATTGCTCATTTGTGCTTCAAATGACTATAAATTGTATAAACCAAAAATTATGTAACCGCGTAATGGATACCTGTGTAAAGAGATCTGCTCGGTATCTATGGGTGAATGATTGTTTTGTGTGTAGTCTGAATTAAAAATGAAGTTGTGCAGGATATCAACAAGTCACGGTTTGGGAGCACACTAAAAATGTCGAGATGAATCTCAACAGATTTGAAAGACATGTGCTATTGCCTAAAGCTGAAATCAACCCCTCAGCCTTTGTTGGTCCCTCAGTCACACACAGCATACAGGTTTTCCGAACCATGACCAACAAATGCAGCGATGCCTCTTTATTGCTGACCTTTAATCAGAATTGGACCATCTCTTTCTCACATAAATTGTAACCACCAGTCTTCCTTTTCTGTGTCTTCAGGTGGACTAACCCTGTGGTTGATTCTGTGGCTGGTGGTGGTGAAGCCGGGCGGGGTTACTGCATGTCCCAGGCTGTGTGTGTGTTACCCCACGCCCATGACGGTCAGCTGCCAGTCCCAGAACCTCACAATAGTGCCAGCTGGCGTGCCCTACGACTCGCAGCGTGTCTTCCTGCAGAACAACCGCATCACAGAGCTTCGCGCAGACTCCTTTGGCTTTGAGACACAGGTGAGAGCAGGTGTCTGGCACGTTTAAAGATAATTAGTTGCCCATTCTTCTTTCCAATTAGGTCATTTAAACTCTTATCTGATGCTGCTTGGTTCTGCAGGTGTTGTGGTTATACGGCAACAACATCACGTGGATTGAGGCTGGAGCCTTCAGTAACCTCAGGATCCTGGAAGAGCTGGATCTGGGTGACAACCCCTCGTTGCGGCATCTGGAAGGTGGAGCGTTCAGGGGCCTGGAGAAGCTGCAGAGCCTGCACATGCATCGGTGCAAGCTGGCCACTCTCCCCCATGACATCTTCCACAAGTTGTACAGCCTTCAGTTTCTCTACCTGCAGGTAAAGGCAACATTTCCCACCACAGATACAAGCTGTCAGATAGGGATGCGTTCAGATGCACGCTGGTGTTGCACATAGCATCACATCATGTTACAGCTGCCTACTGCCAGGTTTCACGCCCACAAGATTGGTCTCATGCTTGTGTAGAGGGATTAGATCTTAGTAGTTTCAGTTATGTCACCGTAACAGGTACAAACTCTGACTATGGCAGAACACCAAGGCAAAACATTGCTGCAAAAACATTTAGCTCATAGTAGATTTGTTAGGATATTTGAATTGATTTCTTCTTTCTTGTCCTGCACACTAAATCGTTCCTGTGTCTTCACCATATTACACACAGAATCGGCATGATTATGATTATGTTCTACACTGTGGTCGCTCTTACAAAAAAGGAAGCCTTACATTATATTTGCAAAGGGAACTATTCTCTAAACGCTTACCTAATGCCTTTCTTAAGTGGTTGCATGTCTTCCATCTGTGCCTCAACATTTGATTGGCACATATCCAACAACAAAAGAGCAGCTCATAATAGCGGTGACATGTTGTCAAGCAACCAGTGAAGGGAGGTTGTGGCTTTTCAAATATCAAAATGTAAAGTACTTCAACTAGGAAAAACACAGACAAAATTAAGCAGGAAGCGGCTATTTGACATCAGTTCCCCATTCTACATTTTGTTGAACATTTTTTTATTTCATTTTTTGCAACAACAGTTCAGCAACATTTTCTCAGATTATTTCTCACAGCACTAATTCTTAACATTTTGATGCCGTTGCAGGAAAACCAACTCCACTTTCTTCAGGATGACCTGTTCTCAGATCTGGTCAACCTAACCCATCTGTTCCTTCATGGAAATCGTGTCCGTACCCTCTCTGAAAATGTGTTCAGAGGCCTGGTCAACTTGGACCGCCTCCTTCTCCATGACAACCGCATTAGGCAGGTAAACCGTCGGGCTTTCCGCGACCTGGGCCGTCTGACCATCCTTTACCTTTTCAACAACTCCCTGGCTGAGCTGCCGGGTCAGGCCATGAAAGACACTCAGGGCATCCAGTTTCTGCGCCTGAATGAGAATCCCTGGTCCTGTGGCTGCGAGGCCCGTCCCCTGTGGGAGTGGTTCCGTAAAGCCCGCATATCCTCTTCTGAGCTCCTGTGCTCCTCCCCCACTCAGCGTCGTGGCCAAGACCTCAGATTCCTGCGGGAAATGGACTTTGCTCTCTGCCCCCTGCCCGACCCAGGCTCACTGGCTGGATCCACCACAACCACCTTCAGCACCAAGACCCGCTGGTGGTTTTCCAAGAACAAGCCTGCATCCTCATCCAAGTCCTCATACCAGAAGAGCTCAGAAACAGTGAAAGCCTTCCCATTCTCCCCTGTCAAGCCTCAGTCCATCCCAAAAATTGCATCTGACACAATCCCCTCCAAGTATGAACTGTCAGACGATGAGGCAGCACTCCCTAAGCTGGATCCAGAAGAGTACTGGGCCAATTATGGCAATGAAGACTCATCCATCCGCTGCTATGAGTTGGAGTGTCCTCCAAACTATGACAGTGCAGCCTTCCCCTCATCTTCCTCTCAAATCATCACCCCAAAAACTCTCCACCTACTCGTCTTCTCCATTGTCAGTCTCTCCCTCCATTTCCTTTTTAGCTGAACTCATTTCCTCTTGCCCCCCTTTTCTATCCTCTGATTTCTCCTCCTGCTCTTTACTATTCTAACTAAAACTTGCATCTTGAATCTTTTCAGTTCCCTCCTGGTTATGCAGGGGTTACTACACTGATCAAAGAGACAGGTTAGGCAGCAGGGAGCTGTTACAAATAGCAGAGGTCAAACGAGTTAACAAAGAGCGAGAAAAGATCCTAATGATGAGCTCTATGCTGCTCCGTATATGCATTTGAAAAGTGGGGATTGTATTGCCGAAGGTTATTCTGCAAGTGACCGGACGACAGCAGAAACCTGGCAAGTAAAATGGTGGCATCTCCAGTTGTTTCTTAAACAATGCAGGCGTTGTGACTCATCCACAGCTATTTTCTATTTTCTGTATGAACTAGTGTTCACCGTTCAGTCCACACTGACATTAACTCACGAAAAAATTAACACTAGTGAATCAAGGTGGGTTTGGAATCACTGAATGTAAGAGAAAGATGTGGGTGGATCCAGAAGAGATTCAAAATCTCACGCGATCTCAGAAATACCAGCAAACTACCACCACTTGTAAATACCACACAGTCTCACTGTACATATACACATTGCACTTTGTATATTAGACTACCTGGATTTGTACTTTTATTTTAGTAAACAACCACCTGTGGCGATAGAAGAGATATTTAGATTGTGAACAAAATGCAAACCCATGAACTGTGGAAACCAGATTTTAGCCCCAGTTATTTTTCTTTAATCTCTGTCTCTCTGGCAGTCTGAGAACTTGTTTTACAATTGAGAGTGGGACATAATGTTCAACACTAAACAACAGAAGGCTTGTGCTCCAGATTCCTAAGTGTGTCTTTCAGTGTTAGTGAGAGCCAAAGAGACCAAAATACTGAGTAAACCAGCTTGATATTTTCCTAGTGTGCCTGTTGAACAGACAGATTTTAACAGACTGTTAGTCTGGAATCCCAAACAAACACTAAGAAGGGGGTAAATGACACCAGTGTATGGTCCAAAATGGCTCTTTGTGTTGCTTGAAAGCTTTGGATTGCTGTCTTACTGCTTCTTGATCCTTAGCAGGCCTAAGTGTGTATGTTTCTGCACCACAATGTGTGTATTTCTTTCAAACAAGTTCTTTTGCAAGATATTAAAGTCTGCATTTTCATTTGATAATTGCAAAGCAATCTGTATATGTTTTAAATAAACGTTTTTGGATTTAATGAATCCAGTTCAATCGCTTGTTCACTATAACAATTTGCACACTGAACCCTTTTATCCCACACAATGACTTTTAGTGGGAAATGAAATTTACAGAGGTTGCATATTCCTCCTTAGTCCTATATGTTGAATCTGATCCCAACCTTAACCAAGACTGTGAGTTCCTGAACAGAACATATAAGATACTCTGATGTGGTTGGATTCTTTATTTTAAAAAGAAAAATATGTTTGATCTGAAAGTGTTTTGCTTTGGTGGAAAATAAAGGAAATAATCAAAGTCAGAACAAAAGTGAATGTTTCTTCATTATTGTCTTGTGCTATCTTTCTGAGGAATTTACAAAAAGAAAGATACAAAACATGAGCAAAAGTTGGCAAATCAGCACAAACACGACAGACACTGAAACGAGAACCATCTTCAATTCAAAAGTTAACAATCAAACCAAACTGTTGCTCATGCTGAATTGATGAAAGCAGATGCCAAAATCCAACCAGAAAAACTACATTAGCATCAGACAAAGTCATATATCATATCAGATGTATTCTGCCAGTTGCCCATTTTACAGGTTTAGAAAAAGTTATTAGCATTTGCTCCAAATACAAATTGATTCTTCTTTTGGCCTTACTTCACCTCTTCACTGAAGTCTTGAAAAGTACGAATAACTGTATACCTTTGCCAAGGCATACACTGGAAATAAAGACAGGAGAAGAAACTGGCTTGACACTATGTAAAGTCTAAGATTAGTTTACCATCACAACAGTTGACTCACCCAGTGTTTACCCTCAGAACTGAGAACACAACTTAATGGATACTTAATAGTCCACATTAACACCTTTAGATTGCACTGCCAAAAGAAAGGACAGAACATAAGGCTGCAAGCAATTCACAGGTCACAGATCTGAGTGAAGGTCACTCCTAAACTCTTCTGACGATGTGCAGAAGGCAGCTAAATTTGGCCATGTTAAACAGTCATACAGAGGAGCAATGTGTGTGTGTGAGAAAGTGTGTGTGTGAGTGTAATTAGGGGTTGGGTGGGTGGGCTGAGATGTGACTCAGATCAAGAAGCAGACTGGGAAACACACCAGGATGAAAATGTGATAAAGTGTCCCGGAATCAACACACCCCCTCAACAGATCCACTCTCACTGTGATGATCACGGTGATGCACATAGTCATGCATGTGCAAGGATACATGTGCAAATATACACACAATCACACATAAACAAATCCTAAAGTTTGTGGAAGTCTGGTCGAGAGGCCTGCATCCCTTCACTTCAAATCTATGCTAATCTATTATGCCAGAGGAGCGGAGGAACGGATCATCATCATCATCAGATCTTCAGCAACACCCTGACCAAGTCAGGGTTTCATCACAGGACCTCACATAGATGAACAATTACATATACTCACATTCCCAGAGTCTGAAGACACCCAACAAGTCATGCAGGGTCGGTTGACTCTTCTGAGCTCTGTTAGACTAAATTTGAAGATGTTTGGTTGCATGCTGACATTCAGCTCATCACTTTTGTGTAAGGTACCCCTTATTTCAAGCTCAGGACCTTTACCACAGAACTGGAAGCTCGAAAGGTTCAACGTAATTTCTTAACTGTAGATAGGCACTCTGCTGGACAGAGACCTCACCTGCTGTCTTCACATCCCATGATCTTATAATTTCCCGCTTCAGCTCTTAGTATTTCTGGAGCTACTCACCTTCCTCCTATTGAAAATAAGTAGTAAGACATATGGCCACCAGCCTCCTCACTAAAGTGATATATGGTCACTTGGCTGGTTTTTGGCAGGCTCAGGCCCCCTTCTTTGGTCTCAGTTGGTTGCCTGGCAACATCTCAGAGACATGAAACAAGAAGATACCCAGTGAACTCAGGAAAGCGGCAACATGTAATATCTCTGTAATGATTTTTCATGTCGATTTAAACCGGAATAGAAATCAGCATGGGAGTTACAAACATGTCAGTGGGAGGCGTTTGCCACGGCTTGACGGTGGAAAGTCGGCCGTTTGCAGTTGTTTCAGCTGCTTTGGCTACTAGTGATGCAAGAAAACACAAATATATTCATGAATGTGTTCTTGTTTTCTTTCTTTTTTTTAATAGAATAGGCCTTCGATTTTTCTTAAAACCATATCATGATTTTTGGGTCGTCAAGTCTAAAAAACATCTTTTCTATTTCTAATATTTTACTTCCTGTGGCCTCTTTTGTTCTATGCGTTCAACAGGTCTTTGTGAGAGATCATGGCATGACAAATATTTCACTCAAAGCAACTTTCTCCATAGTTTTAAGGTTCTATGTAAAATAAACTTTATTGTGAGTCATCTGCAGATATGCACATCCCAAACTTTTGTAATGACTATAGAAATTCTTGTTCCTGCAATTCCTGCAATTCCTGCTTCCTTTTTTTAAGCAGAGTTGTGGGCGTTTGCAATCTTCGCCTGAAAGCAGCTTTCTAGGTAGAGATGGCACTTATTTAGTATTTTTCCGGTGTGTTATCCTCTGATGACGCTTGCCCACTCCTTCTCATATAACTTTCCATTCCATGTTTCAAGCCTCTGCTTCTCTTCCTCCCTTGTGTGTCACGTGTGCCTTTGAATAGCTGTCATTCATTGTCTTTGTCGAGAGCTCTGTCACTGTCAGTGCATTTCTCTCCCTGTTGGAGTCTCTCACATGGTTGTGTCTGTCATGATTAGGCCCATAAAAGGTGACACGAATGTGCACATATCTTGCGTCTTTGCTAACGTTAACAATCACACATATCATTAGGGAAAAGCAAACTCAAATTCATATAAGGAAAGGACCACTAGAGCCAGTTTGACAACGTGAGGCTGTATACACATGTCTACATATGATACCCACCTACCCACACAGTAACTTAAACATTTCAAAAAGCAGGAGTTCATATACAGTTTTAAGCTTTGTATTGCTCAAACTGTCTTCAATGGAAAGAGAAGAGCATGCCTTACCAGATAACACTGGGCATTTACACCTGCATCTGTGACATGTGGAGGTAGCCAAATGGTGCATCCGCTCTTGAGTCACTTAGATTTAAATAAAGAAGAGCAGGGCGAGGAAAGGCCACAACTGTCTGGCGGTCTGTCTGCCCTCCTGAAGATTTACGCAACGGCTAAAATTATGCTTCAACAGACCGCAAAGACAGACTGAGAGGCAAAGAAACACTGCAGATTGGTTGTTTTTTACTTCCTTGGCATGATCCAGAAGGGATCAAAGATGAAGCTAATCACATGACAAAGACAGGAAGCATGGCAGTGACAATGTTCCCTGGAAGTTTGAGGAGTCTTGAGTTTGTTGTTGACAAAAGAACAAAAGCTCAATGGTTAGATGAACAATGTGACTCAGCCATTCTGCCTCGCTCTGGGAGGTTGAATTTTTCTGGCATACACGCAACTTGTGACGTCTTTTGGACTATTATCAGAGTTTTATGCTGCTCATCCACTCTGTCAGACATATGGATTACTTTTTTAGAAACCTCATCTTTGCCCCGGATTTTGGAGCACTCACAAACATCCATCTGTTCCTCTATGGGGCTTTCACTTCCTTTCCTGTTGATTCCTTTGGAGACTGTCATTTAAGCACCAGAAAACAAAGCGCAGATTTAGGGATTAGGAAAGTGATTATTGCATGCAACGGGCCATTTCTTTGGATCTGAATTCAACTGTCAAAGTACAAGACAATACATTTGGAGGCGCTCAAAGGAATAAACTATTAATCCTTCTAGGATAGGATGACGCACGTATGAGACCAAAATTGTTTCCAAAAGGTCGCAACACAATTTCTGAATCAAATATGTGGGTGTCGGCCTTTTTTAAATGTGTTCATTGCAGGCAGCAGTTTTACAAAATATGAAACAATTGCAAATATTGCATATAAATCAGCCCTGTTTGTACAAGAAAAAGCTGATTTTTCCCAATTTTTAAACAAATAAATGGATCACTAATTATCTTTTTGTATTTCTTTTTATTTTGCAATGTTTTTGTGAATTATATGAATTAGCAGTTATAATGTCAAAATGTTTTGTCTCTGAAATATGTCTATAACTTTGTTTTTTAATTATATAATGTACGTTCTAATGCAGATCAATAGCATAGTACTATTACAAAATTGTGATCATAGATAATATTCACTAACTATCCAAATTGTTACAACAGCAAATTACCAATATGGCACATAAATAGAAGAGACTTTAGTGTGGTATCTAATCCCAATTTCCAAACATTGGTTCTGTGATTTTGAAAAACATTAACAAAAACATAAAAAGAAAAATATTGGAATAAAACTTACTCTGGTACAGCAAGTTGTTTTCTTGCTCTTTTTTGTGGAAAATATAAAAAGTTTCAGGATATCAGCCCTGACTTGTTTGAACTTGAAGGTGAGTTGGAACTGAACCACAGTGGTGATGGTTTTCCTGATATTTCAAAAAGTCCTTCTAGTTTCTCTTGGTACCATTCAAAACATTTTTCTGGTGTTGTTAAGTAAAAATCTAAAGCTCTCCCCTCTATTAATGGGTTAGCCCATGAAGTTGAACTCCCCCCATCTCATCAAATATATTGGTACAGTCCGTATGCGCGCGAGTGTTCTTAACAACTATGGCGTCCAAAGCAGGTAAAACTTTGGAAAAACTGAATCATTCAACCACATTATTTCGAAATTGTCTTGTTTCCTGAAACTGTCCATAATGGTGTTTTATGCCTGCTGTCATTGTTACAGATACATGTTTTTATTGGAAATTATGAATGAGTCCACGCAGCACGGATTGGCTGAATTTACACATTGATTTAGCAACACGAACACTACTGTGACATCGATTTTAGATATAAATTTTACCTCTGTTTGGTGTTGTAACAAACATATTAAATCATGTGTCCTCAGGCCGTCGAGGAACAAAGCGCGAAGCGGAGGTTCAGGCCGAGGAGGAGAAAACATGCACTGAGGGGAAGAGGGATAAGGAGGAGGAGGAGGAGAAGGATGAGGGCGGCCATGATGGCCAGAGAGTGGTCATTGAACACTGGTTAGTACTCCAACCTTATCGGACTTTAAAAAAAGTCTTGAATTCACATATAGTTGTATTACTGAAGCCAATCTGGGTCTTTCACGTTTTCAGATATTCACCAACACTGGAAATAGCAGTAATCTGAAATAACACTATGACCATGTTCGGATGATTTATGTAAGGAGTAAGGTGAATCACAGAAAGAATTATGTTTTTAACTAATGGAAAACTGTCACCTTTCCTGATCTTTTACCTCTTGCAGTAAAAGCTGACGAGTGTATGGGCGTAATGCCGAGGAGGTGAAAGCTGCCCTCCTGGCTGCCCATCCTGGACTGACTGTTGTCCTTAACCCTGAGAAACCCCGCAGGAACAGCTTTGAGATCACTCTGCTGGATGGAGGCACAGGTGAGGAGGGACAGATGACAAAGTTTAATTTGGCCAATTAGTGTCAAAAAGAAAAAGGTGGTCATTTCCTACACTTTCACTTTTTGTGAAAAAACGAACAACAAAAGCTGTGTTTTTCTTTTCTTGTTCTTCTTTGAGTTTTTGTTTTCACAAATGACATGCAGATTACCTCTTGTTATCAATTATTTTCATTAATGTTCCTAAGAATGATTCAGTTGTCTTTTGTCTCCTCCAAAGAAACATGCCTGTGGACAGGAATAAAGAAGGGTCCACCTCGTAAGCTGAAGTTTCCCGAAGCCGACGTTGTAGTTGCTGCTCTGCAGAAGGCTTTATAGGCGCTTAGTGTAGGTTTGTCCAAGCTGTCGGGGACAGTGTGAAACGGAATTAAGCAAAGCCTTATGAGGACAGGAGCTCACTGTTTGTATCTTTTTTCAGGTGTCTTACTTAAAACCGATGTAAAATACAGAATGTGTGCCACCAAGAATCCAGAAGATGTGACAGGTGGAAGCAACATGATGAAGAGTGACCAACGAGATGCTCTCAGTCACTCCTCTGATGAGCCGGGCTCCAATTGCTGATATCTACTGGATACATGGTGACACCTCCTGGAGTGTCTGAGCTAGAACACTGTTCATATCCAGAGTCCTCGTGTATTTTTTCTAGATGTTTCCCACTTCTCACATGTTAGATGTACTTTTATGTGTGTTTTCATAAATAAAGAGTTTCACAGTTGGGGATTGTTTTCCATTTATTTATCTGAAGGCAAGTAGTGTCATGAGTTTCAAAGTAATTTAATGAAAATTCAGGCCACTGCCACACTTTCTTTTAGATATTTACGCTATTCTATCTGTGTTTTTGGATTCAACTCATGTTGTAGACACATGGTTGATAATAATCTGCAATAGTCTCAGACAAAACAGTTTAATGTTAAAACCCTGGAATGACCAGGACTTCCGATTTATTTAGTGCATATACTCATAGCAAATGTATTCTATTTTTAATGTTCTGAAATGGTCAGAGGTTGTAACTATCTGCACTTCATGGCATTACATCAGGAAGTTTTATTATTTGCAGTGTATGAAATAATTTTAAAACACAGGCGATTATGTGGATACCCTGTGGGAATTAAAATGACGGGGTTAGCACTAGAGGCAGCTGTTTTGTTTTTAACTTATATGACTCGGAGAAGAATGATGGTCCAGCAGGTGGCAGTAGTCACCTGCTGGACCAAGAAATGAAAAAAAAACGAAGAAGAAAACTTCATCATCCCGCGACAGCTCATAGCAGCGTTTCCTCATGTGAAGAGTTCTTTTTCTCCATTAGGACCCAAAATTAGGAGGTAAATTCTCTAAACTGGTTAGAAAGCCATCTTCTTAATGTTCTGAAACAGCGGGAGGTTTATGAATTATCTGTGCTGCCCTTCTGCTTTTCGCTCAGGACAGTAACGCTACATTAGCCACTGCCTGCTAACTGCTTGTTTGTTTAAAAAAACTACTTATTTGGTTTACTAAAAAGTTTTTTTTTTTTTTAAACATTGCAAAAATGGCCCTCAACTAGTTTTTCATAAATTGAGTCGAAATGTGGAAATGGTAATCTGATTTTATATTTTTTACAGATGATCTGTTGATGACTTTCTGGTTGTGCAGAATTCACTGTCAGTGTTTGCATGTGTTAAGTTCAGGTCAACATCCACCATAGCATATATTACTTCTAAGTTCCCTTCGTTAACCAGAACTTACTGTCTCTACAATCCTACCTTTTAATTTTACCACAACTCTGAAAATACCATATTCCTGAATAATGAGTATTATTGTAGTTTGATACAAGATTGAAAACATTATAGATTATTTTATAGTTAAGGGCACAGCATTTGAGACTATGTTTATTGTGAAGATATAAAAACATCTTGTTGTTATGACCTCATTGACACATTTTTTTCTTTCTCTAATGAACAGTTTTTCTGCCAATCATGGCAACAGAGGGTGTAGAAAAGACGAGTGAAGATGCCCCGGCGTCGGGTAAGGTGTGCACCCGCTTTGACCTGGAGAAAGAGACGGAGCTGCGCTTCGAGGTGGAGGCCGGGGACGCAGCGGAGCAGGTGGAGCTGGAGCTCCTGACGGGAATGGCTGAAGTGTTTGGCTCCGAGCTGAACCGAAACAAGAAGTACACATTTGGACCGGGCTCCAAGATAGCGGTTTTCACCTGGCAGGGTTGCTGTGTGAATCTTTATGGGAAGCCGGAGGTGAGCACCATAGACACATTTCCATACACTTCTGATTTAGTGTAGAAGCATCTCTTATTCCATGTAGAGCCTAAATAACCAATGTGTCATTGCCACAGGTAGCTTATGTGTCAAAGGACACTCCCATGCTGCTCTATCTGAACACACACGCTGCCCTGGAGCAGATGAGGAAACAGGCGGAGCGGGAGAACGAGAGAGGGCCGCGGGTATGTTTTGATAAGCGAGTTGTGCTTTGCAGGTAAGACTTTCCTTCAAGAACACTCTGTTAACTCTGCCTAATGACCTCTCCTTCAGGTGATGGTGGTGGGACCCACAGATGTGGGGAAGTCAACAGTGTGCCGGATGCTTCTGAACTATGCAGTGAGGGTTGGACGGAGGCCAACGCTGGTGGAGCTGGATGTTGGACAGAGTGGGGTAAAGTGGATAACAATACTATCAAGGGCTGTTCACAAGATTATTTAGGATAGGTTCTGTTTGGAAAAGACTATTATCCGAAAAAACGATCCACATGTGCAAATATTAATTTGCGGTCCATGTATTGAGAATGAAGATATTTCTCAGGAGAAAAAGACTGGTGACTGGCTTAAAGTGGGGCTCTGGGTGTTATTTATTGAATGTAATCTTTGGATAATAAAAACTAAATATATGTGACTAATCTGGTTTTAAAAAAGGATCTGAAAAAGCCTGAATAAATATTGAACCTATCTGCAGAAGAGATCAGCATGCTTTACCGCATACTGACTAATCCTCTTTGGTACGTGGAAGGTGAAACTACCCATTTGAAGATTTAAGCATTTGAATTTAAGAGCAAAGCCTCCTCAAGTGGCTTTACCTGCAGATATGTTCTGGAAGTGATAAAATGCTCTTGTGTTCTGCTCTTGTGTTTAACAACAAAACTTATACAGAAAAGTGCTGATTCTTATACTCAGTGTTTTCATTGTACTAAATACGTCACAACTTTTTTTTTCTTTGTTTTAATTTATCCTGCTTTTTTTTGTTGAAATCTATTTCAGTAAGACATTTGTAAAGTTAGGACTTTTTCCTCATTATTGTTATGGAAGTGTCTGAATCGTGACAAAGTAGCTGGTCATAGTTTCGGCTGTATTAAATGCAACATAAACATGGTTAAACTAAACGTTCCCCTCATTGCAGCCAATAGTTTTGCTTCCCTCATCACTGATTTATAGTGAATGCAAAGACACACATTTCTGTTAGATTTAATTGTACGGTAAAGCATAAAGGATTTTTGTCCTGCTCCAGGTTTCTGTGCCAGGCACGATGTCGGCCCTGTGCATTGAGCGCCCAGCAGACGTGGAGGAGGGTTTCTCGGTCCAGGCACCCTTGGTCTACCACTTTGGCTCTACTTCTCCGGGTACAAACATCAAATTGTACAACAAGGTAAAAACGAGATCAAACGGTAGCCACAGATAGCAGTTTTAGTTTGAGCTTTCTTGGACTCTGATGTTCACTAAGTCACCTTCTGTCATGCCCCCCAGCTGACGTCCTGCCTGGCCGAGGTGTTTTCGCAGCGCTGTGAGGTGAACAGGAAGGCCAGTGTGGGAGGCTGCATCATCAACACCTGTGGGTGGGTTAAGGGCTCTGGATACCAGGCTCTCGTGCACTGTGCCTCCACCTTCCAAGTGGATGTGGTGCTGGTGCTGGACCACGAGAGGCTCTACAATGAGCTGAAACGAGACCTCCCTCACTTTGTGCGGGTGGTTCTCCTCCCGAAGTCTGGAGGCGTGGTGGAACGCTCCAAGGAGTGCCGGAGGGACTCCCGGGACGAGAAGATCCGCGAGTACTTCTACGGCTTCCGCGGGGTGTCTTACTACCCTTTCTCTTTCGAAGTGCGCTTCTCGGATGTTCGCATCTACAAAATCGGGGCGCCGTCCATCCCGGACTCGTGCTTGCCTCTGGGAATGTCTCAGGATGATACCCAGCTAAAATTAGTGCCCGTGACACCAGGGAGAGACCTGACGTACCACGTGCTGAGCGTCAGCAGCATCGAGGACGGGGACGACGGAGCCAGGAAGGGCATCGTGGAGAGCCCTGTGTGTGGCTTCATTGTGGTCACCTTTGTGGACACTCAGACGCAGGTGATGAAGGTGCTCTCCCCGGCCCCCAGACCTCTGCCCAGACACACCCTGCTGATCATGGACATCCGCTTCATGGACATGAAGTGAAGCAGCATCCTGGGAGAAAGGATTTTGGAAGTGGGGAGCATTTTTGCTCAATTTTTATTTCCAACCTATCTTGTTCTGTGTTTTGTAAGGACTACAAGGCATTAAACTACACACCATCTTGTAGAACAAATTGTAAATATGTTTCTCATTGTTCGATAAGTCCAGGCTAATCTGTTTAATGAACACTGCTGTTTTTCTTTTAAATAATAAAATTTTAATGGTGAAATGTCACGTTTATTCCTCTCTAAGTAGGCCTGGCTTTCAGTCTGCATTAATTACACCCTTTCCAAAAAAATGAATTAAGGATTCGTACTTTAACTTAAATGTGAAACCAAAGCAGTTTGGTGAGATTTCCCAAAAGCCTCACCCAAAGTGTTTTGAGCATGTGCAGTAGCATATCTTCCCTCAGCTGTACACATCCTGTACAGTCATGTCTATTTTGATCAAAGTAAGTCAAAGGAAGCTGGGCTGTGGATCCCATCCCAACACAGTAACAGCCTGACAGCAGCTGTTTGTGGGCACCACAGTTGGAACTCATTTCATGTTTGTTTAGTCAACACCTACCAGCCCATAGGATATTCTGTAGACCTTCATGCTGTTTTTAACTTAACGCATCATTAACGTGATGATAAGGGGCCAGTATATGACTGGTATACCTGGAACTTTTTGCATCTGGAAACAGTTATCTCACTGATCTTTTAACTAATACTAGATTTTGTAATAACCATCAGTCATCTGACCATTTGTAGATAATTTTTTATTCTATGATGGAAATGAAAAGATTAACATTCTTTATCTTTATTTTTCAACAAGAGACAACGTTGTATATTCACATAAGAATTTTAGAGAAACAATATTTGTTTTAGAATCTTTATGTTTATAGTATCTGATGTATGCTAAATTACATAAATTGTTCCTTAATAACAATGGGTCTACTTTATTCTCTGTTACGTTGTCAAAGACTGACTTATTTATCTGGCCAATACCTGTGTTCAATGTGATACAGTGGTCTAAAAACACGACTAAAACATGCGTAAAAATGTAAATATCAGATAAATTATTCATTTCTACTTTAGGTTTGTCTGAAGTGATGTCTTTTTCTCCAACACAACACGTATTTGAAGTCATTTACTGCATCATAAGACCTTGTTGAAAAAATAAAAAGTTGATACCTTCTATAACCTTGCAAGATGTTAAAATAAGAACTTTTGTTATGCTTTCAGTCCTCTTAAACTACTTGGTAATAAGAGCTATCGGTACTATGGTACATCTGCTCAGCGTACTACCATCATGGCAACCACGCCCTCTCGTTCTCTGATTGGCTGCCCACTCCACCTGAGGAACAACGGTCTTGTTCCGGGATTCCGACGTCGGCCTAGCAAGAGAGGTAGATAGTTTGCTAGTGGCTAAACCAAGGAGGACTGAAACGACCAATACCCGACGGGCAAGACTGTCCATACGTCGGACCTCAGGTTCGTGTTTGACATTTTCTGTCGTTTGACTGTTTAGCTGAAAGTCGTTACTGCTTCCTCGCCAATCGTCAGTGAAAGCTTATCCGCTAGAGTTACACTCCCATGCTAGCCAGGTAACTATCGTTAGCGCACTCTTCTAGATGTGGTAAAGGACTGAGCAGTGTCGCAAAGAAACTTTCGAGGCTTGGTTAAAGCCCCTCTGAGTGATTACCAAGTATATATCTGTAATTGTTTTTGTTGTTTTTGCTATTCCTCGTTTTTGACAAAAGTGTTGCAACACCTCTTAGTTTGAAGCGGTGGTGTGTCTTTTCTTGAGGATCACGGTGGTGTGAACAGATTATTGCAACGTTACTCGTCTTGATTGAATCTTTACGCTACACTGGCCTGCTGTTTCACGCCTGTTCTGTCTCGTGGTATCATACAAAGATCAAGTCGTGGTAACCGAATGCTTTATATTTAGTAAAAAGACACCTAAAAGCGTCCAAAAGCCTCTTTCAATATGGATGATATTTTCTTGCCCGGTCACTTTACGGTACATCTTGCATGGCACTGATCGTTGTGGTGACATGACAAGCAAAGCTCGACACGGAGATTTTAGGATTAACACACATTATACTCTGAGGAGGGGGATTTGTTGTGGGCCAGATGGGGTGATTAGGAACAGACACACTGACACTCTGTCGGCTTCATTGCTTTATATCGTTGGATAGATGATTGTTGAACAGAGGGGTGTGTCCAAACTATCAGATTACACTGTTAGTCTGGAAATGTTTCGGTTTGCCCCCACTGCACCGACTAGTTTTTCGTCTCGAGGAAAATTAAATTCACATGAAGTGTTGAAGTGTGTGTCACAGATTGTTGTCTCCGTGGTGTTTCCACTAGTGGGAGGTGTTTCTTTTGACCACCTGAGGGCATTGACGTTACAGCTGTCTGTTTGAAAACAGCAGGGGGGGGGGGCAACTCTGTGTGAGTAATACTGAAAAGTGTGAGAGACAAGTTTTGGTCTCTCTTTCTACCAATCAGAGTGAGACCATTACCTCTCTCACATAACTGTAGTCTGGGTTCACCGGTATTGTGTATTCAGTAAGGGTATGTGCATTGTTTTTAGATGGTTTTTATGAGTTTATGAGTCTTTAATCAGTTGAAATGCTTTCTCTTTGCATTAATTAGCCAATAAATACATTCTGCTTGTTGGATAATCCCAAATGCCCACAAAGATGATATTTTTCTTATGTGAAGACTAAGATGATCATACTTGCTACAAGGGTGTTTTTTATTTGTAAACGCCTTCATTTCTAGCACCAGGACAATGTTTTGATGTATGTATGTTTAAATCGGCCCATAAAATCATATTTCAGTCTGTCTTTACCTCTGATAGTCTAATTCAGAACATTTATATCTGCTGCATGTTAACAAATTTCAAGAATTAAATGCATTTTTATTTTATATAGAATGGCTTAAACAAATGCATTAGACTCTGTAAAATAAACACATATAATTAGAAATAGCAATCTTGGATTCAATGGTGCGATTCAATCTCCTCATTGTGGCCCGACTTCTTCCTTCATTTTCCTTTTGATTGATTGATTTCCTTAGTTTTCACCGCTTATCAAAACAAAACAGAAATGAACTTGTCAACAATGGCAAGAGGCAGAGATAATTGAACATGCTCCTGTTCCAGCCTGCATGACGGTATAAGATACCTTCACAAGAAGCAGGCCTGAGAAGAATTTGGCAAATGTTCATCAAAGTCTAACAATGGACATGAAGCTGTATTTTTTTATTGTACTTATTTGCAGAATAGATTTTTGAATATTTAGATGTGTGATTGTTGATTTTATATCATTCTTTTTTGCAGGAGTTTCCAGCTTTTTGCCCACTGAACTGGAAGCCAAAGATAAAAAGACTAAAATGCTTTAGACTATGTACCACTCATTCTGTACAAGATTTTCTAAAAGAGATTCAAAATGGGAAAGGAGAACTGTCTGCGGAGAACTTGGAGGTGGGACAGGTCCCCACACCCATCCCGAGCCAAGGCTGGAGGCACTTTTTTGAACTACACGGCGCATCTTTATGGAATGAGTTGATTGTGCCACCATATAGACACAGAAAGTGAGGACATCAGTTCAGTAGACTAAGGAGACTTGTATTTGGATGTTTAAGCCTGTTTGCTTTTGAAGACAAGGACACACTTTTTTTTTTGCCTTTCCTATTTTAGCAGCTTTTGGAATATAAACTCAGCCTGATCAACCTGGAGCTTTTATTTTCTGTTAAGCAGATTCCTGTAACTGCCTCAAAAGGAAATCTTCTTTTGGTGGTTCCCTTGTATGAGTTCGCCTATAATGCTGGAACTGTCCCTCCTGCTGCCATCCTCAGTTTCTTCCACCCACCCAGTGCCTAAATAAGCCCTCTCGGGACTATCACAGAGACAGTAGCAGCTGCTCCTCTCAATCGTGTGCTTGTTCTTGTTCATGAGCTTCTTCTTGCCGCCTGCTGGACTACCTCTTTCTTTTCATATTCTAGTCATTTTCTTTAATTAAGACAATCAGAACTTGAGCACAACAATTACCATAATTGTAAACATTGACTTTGAGTAGTGAGGAGATACCGGGCCTGTCCTCGCACTAATTTATTTATGTTGCTCCACCAAGATTCTCACACTGTTGTGCAGAAGACAGTTTGGAGCCATATGAAATATTGATGTATTATCTACACATATTTTTGTATCCCACTGCTCTTCTGAAGATCTTTCCATTATGTAGATACAACAAATTGTACACGTCAGTAGAGCTGTACTGTAAGTGGCTGTATATCAGTGTCGGGGAACATATTGAGTCCGCACAGAGACAACTTTTCATGTTCCCCTTCAATTCCTGCTCCCTGTAGCCGGGAACTTAGTAGAGTTTTCCTTTTCAGTTAAAAGGGATGGCCGCCCTTCGCAGACTATTGAATTCTCCATTTTGACCTGAAAAACACCCCCCTGTCTAAGGTAGACCGTCAATATCTACCTCCGTGCGTTTCTACCTCCCCTCTCCCTCGGTATCTGATGCCAGGTTTCAGTGGTGGGGGGGTTGGGGGAGGAGTAGGGGGCCATGCTTCTGCTCCTCCCCGCCCATTTCGACCCAGCCGGTACGTGCCAGTGTCTGCAGCTACCACATTCCTCGTTGGGTCCACAACACTCTTCTTCTGCTTCACGTGAGTGCTTCCTCATTACCTCTTAAATGAACACGGTGCAGAAGAGGCTCAATTATGATGTCCCAATTAAGTCTGCTAAGATTTGTAAATATCCAGATTCCATGAATTTTATTCTGAGGGCAATCTGTTGTTTTCATCAGCCTGCATTTATTCAGAGGAAATTCACTCAACATAACTGCCATCTCTTCAGCGACACTTCCCACTGCTCCACACAGTAACACTTACAGCCCAACATGTGCAATCAGTGTTTTATATTTAGCTGCTGAGCAGTCTCAGTCGAGCTCTCTGAAGTTTATTTGTCTTGCACAAAGATTCTCCAGTAGATGCTCGTGGAGTGTTGAGAGGTCATTTCCAATTTTATGGATGTGTATTTGCGGGTTGTTTATGTATTTTTTTCCCATAATCTTTCTTTATGTTGTCTAGTTGCCCATGGCTGTCAGAGTATTTCTCTTCTGTCATTCCCATCTACAATGCTGTGATCTTCCTCTTCACTCTCGCCAACTTCTGTATGGCAACTTTCATGGACCCTGGAATCTTCCCCAGAGGTAAGGAGATGTCAACAGAACTAATGAAGAACCGGTTGTTCCGGAAAGTAATACCGACCAGTGACAGAGATGTGAGGCTTTCAATGCTTGATAGAAGAAACAAGATTGATTACTGTGAGTCTCTGGAGTAAAATGATTTCACGAGGGCTTGTGATGATGGGAATACAATTTTGTTTGTAGCGGAGGAGGATGAGGATAAAGAGGATGATTTCCGCGCTCCTCTCTATAAAACTGTGGAAATCAAAGGCATCCAGGTGCGCATGAAGTGGTGCTCCACCTGTCGCTTCTACCGTCCACCACGCTGTTCGCACTGCTCTGTTTGTGACAACTGTGTGGAGGTAAATGCTTTCACACATACCCTGTACACATTTCTTTACTCACTTTATTAGAAATCTATTAGGAGTTAGTTTATTTCTCAGTGTCGATGCATTTGATGTACAGCTGTGCAGGTGAACTGAGAAAAAGGGGATGATGCTGTGTTGTTATTATAGCCTAAGGTTTTAAGTGTCACCTTACTGATTGTTAAAGGAACATAATCTTGATTTTGAGATTGAATATTTAGGTTTATAGGTTTGTAGGCAAACAATAATTGCATCTGTCACAGAAAAGTCCATTTTTTCTGTCTTCATTTGTGTTTCTGAAGTTATTTTCAATTTAAAACTCAGAAAATGCATATAAAATTGAATGTTTCTCATCTTGTTTGTGCCTTTTTGTCTCCCGATCTTGTCTTTATGCAGGATTTTGACCATCACTGTCCATGGGTGAACAACTGTATTGGCCGGAGGAATTATCGCTATTTCTTCCTCTTTTTACTTTCTCTAACCACCCACATTATGGATGTATTTGGCTTTGGCCTGGTTTACGTTCTCCACCACCGCCAGCAGCTGAACACGCCACACGCTGCGGTTACGTATCCTTTACTCTGTACCCTGTGCATAACGTGACGGGCCTTTCTTTACTCGTTATTCCTCTTGGTTATCTCCTTGACCCTGTGTCCCAGTATGGCTGTGATGTGTGTGGCAGGTCTGTTTTTTGTTCCAGTGGCTGGCCTGACTGGGTTCCACATAGTGCTGGTGGCCCGTGGTAGGACCACTAATGAACAGGTATATATGTGCCTCTGTATAAGCTTTTTCCTTCGTTGTATTGGGATTTAGTGCTCATGTGTTTTTTCTTCCTCCATCTCTCTCTTTGTAGGTGACAGGGAAATTCCGAGGAGGCGTCAACCCTTTTACCAATGGCTGCTTTAGGAATATTACACATGTTCTCTGCAGCTCTCAGGCCCCCAGGTCTGTTACCCCCCCTCTGTTTACTCCTCTCTTTCTTTTCTTTTTCTTTGCTCACTTTTTCAGTTCTTTTTCCACTTCACTTTGCTTTCCATTTCTCTTTTTCCTCCACTTTCCTCTATTTTTCCAACGCCTTTGATAGTTCTCTTTTGTCCATTCTGTTAATGGAATATATGAGCAACTGCATTCCCTTTGAATGGATTTGGTTGCAAGATCAGATTTGGCAGTTTAATAGCATACTCTTCAGGCTTTTGTTTAAAGTTTAAAATTTGTGGCGTAGGTACGTTGGTCGATGGCGAGGTCGTCAGGCACTAGAAGTACAGCCACCATTTCTTAGACCGTCGCTCACCGAAGCCCAACTAGAGGCAAAAATCCTTGACAATGGGATCCAGAATGACCGACACAGCACAAGGGTGAGTCACTGTACTGTTTGAATATAAAGAAGTAAAGAGCAAGATACTTTTGGTCTCTCTTTGAACTGGCCAACTCCTTTCAGACGTGCTCTGCTCTGCTCATGACTGAGTTGAACAATCTTAGCTGTGGGCTTCTTATAGTTGTTAGTGCAGTTCAGTTATGGGCTGGTGCAGAGCCACAAGAAGGAGGAAAAACCTGTATAAATGTGCACTGAAGCTTCTGCTCCTCTTCCTTTTCTTTGTAGGCATAGAGAATTTCCTTAACCTAAGAAAGTACATTGTTTGTCTAAGATCAAGGTTACTATGTGACTTTTAGGCAAAAGATAAACAGCTGGAAGGTTTGTTTAGTTTAGTTCAATAGGTTGATGTGACATCCTGCTGTTCCTTCTGCATGAATGCAGAACTGAACTTAACGTAAGCACAAAGATGTAATGGAATGATTTTCTCTGACTAAGACTCAGCTTGTAGTCTAAATACTAATCCTTTGTGTGTCCCCTTCAGTCCAAGAGCAGTCTAGATCATATGGAAAGCCAGTCTGCTGATGCAGAGCCTCCACCTCCTCAAAAGCCGGATCTTCGTTATCCCGGCCTGCCTCGTGCTGACACAGAGGGTGAGACGCACAAAAACACACACAAGAAAGAGACAGGTGGTTGTAGATAAACTCACCAGACATGGGAGTGTCTACAAGTATTTTTTGTTTGTCTTTGCCTCTCATGTAAACAGTTGTACTCTTCATTCAAAAATGATTTTTTTGTTTCTTGCCTCTCAGAGAGCAGCTTGTTGACTGAGGCTCCCCCAACGCCATCAATGTACAAGTACCGCCCGGCCTACAGCAGCCCAGGAAAGAACCACACTGCTCTCACACATCCAAATAAGGTACATTTTATTACATGGCTCAAAGTACTGGGTATGAATTTTTTGGTAAATACAGATGTCAGAGTTCAGAGTATTTTCATGCCAAATTATACGGGGACAGAAATTGTTTTTCAAAAATCTAAAATGATACCATGAATATTATGTATTGAACTAATTTTTAGAAAAAGGGCATATGTTTGTTACTCAAAAAGAAGCACGCGGAGCAGTAAAAGCACCACCTGTAGCAGGTGGGCTGGAGGCTGTCATGTCTGCCTTCTAATATTCATTGTGGTGAATAAATGCCCTTCTTTTTGTTTTTACTTTGAAATGATCATTCAGTGGGCATCGGTTGAGCAGTAAGTCTCATTGTGTTTGTGTGTTTGTTCCTTTGGATGTCTCCGTGTTTGAATCTATCCTTCCCCCTGAGACTACATTGACTGGAATGTGCCGGTCCTGTACTTCCATCTGTGTGTTGACACACACTTGTCTTTGACATGCAGTGTCAGTGCTTGTTCCAACCCGTCAATGTTTCCAGTCCAGTAGTGTCATGATGGAGTAGAGCACCAGTCAAGCATCCAGTACCCCCTTCACTCTTCTCTCTCTCTTTATTTTTTCTTTTGTTTGAAATTTTGTTTTTATCCTTTTAGCATCTGTACAAAAACTGTTTTCTGTGCTTTGTTTTGCTGAGGTAAGATTGTCGATTTCATCTTCCTGATTGTCACTCATCATCTTCATTCCCTACCCTCTCTCCCATTTCTACCTGTGGTATATTTCTCCTCGTCTCTCCTCTCCTCAGATGATCCGTGGGGAGAGTCTCGACTCTCCGTCTTCCTCCATCCTCCAGTCCAGCCGTCAGCCTAGCTACCGTTCGGAGCCAAGCAGCCTGGATGGGGCCACCGTGGTGGGAGGAGGTGTAGGGGCGCGCAGAGGGGGAGGGGAAAGGGGTGAGGGCTCTGGAGGCCCTGCTGGGACTGCTGGGGGGGTGTCGGGGGGCATGTCAGGTTACTCCCTGACTGGGCGCTCCTACACCTCCTACCCATCCTCGCTGGTTCTGTCCACTGGTGGCTCACGCTCATCCAGCCTTCGCTCAGCACAGACTGCCCATAACCCGCTGGCCACACTCCAGTCAGAGGGCACGACAGACACCAGCTACAAAAGCCTGGCCAATCAGACGCCTCGGAATGGCAGCTTGTCATATGACAGCCTGCTGACGCCATCTGAGAGCCCAGAGTTCGAGTCAGCTGCCCATGAGCTGTCGCCGCAGAAACCTTATGTCCCGTTTCCCTCCTCGACAATAACGGGCCAGTCCGAGGTGGTGTCACCCAGTAGCCCGCTGCAGGGTTACACGTCGCCCTTCCTCTCAGCTCAGTTTGCCCAGCAGAGGGAGGGGCAGCTGCTCCAGGGCTCCGCCACTTTCTCCTCCCCCCATAGGGCCTACCTGCGTGCCGTCAGCCCGCCTCCTCCCGCCTCCTCCGAGGCTCAGCATCTTCTCCAGCACAACCTGGATCCGTCTTCCCGAGCCACTCGCAACCTTTCCTCCTCATCCTCATCCCCCGGGGCCCGCTCACCGGAGCCCCACGTCTCCCCGCCACCTCGCGGCCTCTCCCTCAGCAAGTCCCCGTCTCACACTGGTGAGGCAGGGTCACAGCACAAGCCTCGCCCCGCAGGAGGGGGCACTGTGCTGGGAGGGGGAGTCGGAGGAGGGCAACAGGCCTCACAGTGAGTAGTGATCCGTCACCAGATTCGTCAGCCTGCCAATCTTCCTCCTCCTCCTTTACCTCTTCTTCTTCCCTCCCGGTTTGTGTCAGCCCCTCCTTCCTGATCTGTGTGAGTCTTCCTTTTCCTTCCTACGTGGTTTACAGTCAGTTTGTCCTTTGTTTACTCTTAAACTGTGGGGTGTGAATGAACCCTTTCATTGGTTCAGTTGTTGGAAAGCATGCTGGTATGTGTTTAGCTTTGTTACAGCATGCCTAACGGTGCTGCCCTGTAGTCTCTTTGAGTCCTTCTCCTTTTCTAACTCATCAGATGCAGTTACCAAATGCCTTACAAGATCATAGAAAGACATTTGCTGCAGGTTATCTGCTTGTTATTTTTAAGGTTGAGCATCTCACCTTCATTTCTCCTCTCTTTATTTCTAAAATGTTCCCCTTCCCTTCTCTCGCTCCTCCCCTCCGGGATGGCCGTCCAATCAGATCCATCTCTCGCCCAGTCTTGGCCAATCACACCACAACCAAACCAGGGGGCGGAGTGAAGAAAGTAACCGGTGTTGGAGGGACCACATACGAGATATCGGTTTGAGTGGCCCACATCCCACATGACCTATCCCAACGGCGGGAGAGGAGAGGAGGTCACAGGACAGCTTCCAATCGCCATTTACCTAAGCTGGATATTATTCATGACAGTGGGCTCCCAAGAAGTGACTGGTGTGGATGGTTTGGATTCAAGATGCGGCTCTGTCTGCTACTCACTTTGTTATCTGGCCAATTTTCTCTGCCTGCCTTTCAGATTTGAACAAAGAGAAGCCGGAGATGCTGACAGATATTTTTACACATGATCAGCTGTCACCATTTAGCCACTTTGCGAGCCATAGACCGACGTGATCATGGCTGGGTACTGATATGTTTGAAAAACACGCTTACCTGTTCCATGATTTGCTGTTTTACTGTGGTACGTCAGCACGGAGTATTGACACGGGTGTCTGACACTTGAGGAATAGATGATCTTTATCCAGCAGATGTTAAAATGTAAGAGCTGGAATTTAAGACTGCTGACCAACAGAAAAACATCTGTTTGGACCACAAAGAGGGAAGAGTTTGACCTTTAAAACGCAGTTATCGTTTTAGTTTTCTAAGTCTTTTTTTTAAGATATTGTTTTATATAAATGTATAAAATCGTTCAAGTTATTCTTGGGTCAAATCGTCATGTGTTGAAGATGACCTTTAGTGAGGGTGGCAGATGTACAATATGTATCGATTCACGACAGCGATTTCAGATCGGTTGCCTGTTTATAATTGATGGCTGCATCAGCCTCTCGCAAGCTTTTGCTGGAATTTTTATTGTCCAAAGAGAATGCTGATCCTTTATGGAGGCCAGAGGTGGCAGATAATCAAGATTATTTTTCAAAGCCACAAAGAAATTTAGTGTCACGACAGCAGCACAAGCATCTTTGTGGAATGTATGCTTGTAATGTTTATGCTAGAGACATTATGCAAAATCTGTTTGTAGCTTTAAGATCAGTGTATGTGTTTGTTTTTCTTATTTTCAACCCCTCACTTTATGTAATTTGTCACCCAGTAAAGATGTTAGTAACCACATACCTTTAACGGTTGGACAGCCAAACAGGGGCAGCAAGGGGAAGGGCTTATTTATTTCACCTGACAAAACAACCTTGTAGTTATTGAACATAATCTATATGTATTTTATTTTTTCTCATGAGAGATGGCAGAAAAAAATCCAAATATTTTTTGAAAGTATATGAAATGAAATTGTGAATGCCAGATGCCACTGAATGGATTTAGGAGGCAAAGGAACATTTGAAACCACTCACGATGAAGCAAATGTGTTTTTCTTTTCTTTAAAAAAAAAATTTGATGAATAATTTTACATTTTTCAAATTGAAAAAGTCATGAGGCTTTGATTTCTTTATCCTTTCATTAGCTCAGTTTAAATCTGTCGGAACTACAGTTAACCCACTGCCATGTCCAGAGGATTTCTTAGAAAGGGAAATGTCTTCACCTGGATTCTGGATCATCGCAGAGTTTTTATTTATTTTCTTTTTGTCAAAACCCAGAGCAGTGTTTGCATTAGAATGTCCAACCTGCATGAATGTGGCGAGCTAATGTCCGCTTTTAATTTTGGAAGCATCACGTGACCCACACGGCAACCTCACCAGGCGACGTCTTCGGTGTGCGCGTTTTGTGTTATCGTTCGCTTGTTTGTTTTTTCATTTCTTTGTCGTGATGAGTGCTTCTCTGGTGTGCATTGTTGTGCGACTGTTGACGGGTTCCAGCTTAGTCATGTGCGGGGTGGCAAAGAGAAACACCACTAATGGCACAAGCAGCTGTCGCACAGAGGTGAGGACCTGTGTTCCACGTCCCGCTCTGGCCAGAGGCCACCGAACAATCAAACTGTGTACGCACAGCAAGTTTATTTCTGTTTGAGATGAAATATTGCTGTTGTGGGCTGTGATGAATGGAACGAGATTTACAAATATCTGTAATGAAAACATTAAAAACATTTCCAAAATGGCCTTATAAAGAATTTTTAAGAAGATGTCTTCTCAGAATAAAAGGTCAAGCTGTTATAATACAAACAAACGCGTGTATCACGATGCTTGTGTTCAGTTTCAAACCACCGTTTACTTCTATTCTCAGATTTGACATCAACGTAAACAGTAATTAAACACAACGTTTACAAGCAGGGATTAGATATTGCTAAGTGTCAAAATAAATACAAAAAGGCATTTGTTCTTAAATAACTTACGATCTCATAAAAAGTCCCCATATAACTGCTGGATTTGAATGAATTGCTGCGTTTTGGAGAAGATTCTCTGCAAATTCTAGCAGTGTGTTTGCACGATGTAAAGATGAGACACGGTGGAGCCAGACGGGCGTAGCGCTCTCCTCCTCACTGGTCTTTCTTGCTCTCTCTCTGGGCTGTTGGCTCTGGGTTGTCGGCCTCCTGCGCCTCATCGCTGCCCTCCTCTGCCTGAGAACCGTTCTCCTGCTTCTCTCCCTTCAAGGCAAGGCTTTTGTTCAGCTTCTTCGATTTCTGGAAGAGCTCATTGAGATTAAACTCTCGGATGATGTTGTCCTGACAATTTAAAAAAAAGAAAAGTTAAAAGTTAGTGTTATCGTTGGTAAGTTGGGGGCTCATAGTGGGTTATTTAATGTGTTAGGAGCAAAACGGACACACCTCATTAAAGGTCCACGACACAGCCCTCCCCTTGCTGTCCACCATGGGACGCCTCATAACCTCTCGTCCACTTTGGAAAAGTATCAGTGAGGGCAGCTGCTTGGCCAGAGGAGATGTACTAACCCTGTACCTGTTGAGAAATAATTTAAGGGACAGTCACTGGGTGTGTTCGGAGGCTGTCAAAAATAAGACATTTCCGAAACATTAACAAAGCTGAATGAATTCGAAACGGACCTCTGCGACACCTCTCCATAGCGGCCAATGTCCACCTTCCCAAAGCGGAGTCCAGCACAGTTGTACCTGTAGTGCATGGGTAAAGACACGAGTTTGACCCTAAAGTGGAAATGCATTTCCTCACATGCAGCTGAAAAACATAAAGTCCAAACTGTACTTCTAATCTCTATGTTAGCAAATCTTAAAAGTACACCCACTCAACAGAATTGAGGAGAAGGAGTCTTACTTGAGAGAGAGGTCAGCAAAGACCGGAGCAAAGGACTGGCAGTCAGAGGACCAGTTGGCATAAAACTCCACAATCCAGGTGACGCGGCTGTCCTTCTGCAGCTCCTCCTGGTGGCTCACAACACAAAGGCCAATCACAACACAATAGGCAGGGACACCTGTACTTTATTGCTCACTTTCCAGAGCAGCGTCTTACCAAGTTGGGAGGTGTGCTATAACAATTTTTCATTCAGCTAAAATATCTGACATATTTTCAAACGCTATGAAACAGCACAAAAAAAAAGATGTGTCAAAAGAATAAATAGCCAAAAAACAATCAAAGGAGGGACTCACATCTATGGTCTTGTCACTGAAGTACTTGATGTACTCTGGGCCCATGTAGAGAGGAGGCTTTAAGGTCATCACAAATGCTGCAGGCCAACCATAGATAAACAGGCTGAGAATGCTAGCATAGAAATCACATCAAATGCAAATGGAATGTTGTTTAAGCTGTATATTTTAACATTAAATGCAAACCAAAACCACGTGACAAAAAGGATTTTAAGGTGTGCCATTCGGTCAGGCGGAAGTGAGCTGTTTACAGAGGTGAGCATCACTAGCTAGGGTCACGTTATCTAACCTGCGGTGGGAATAATAACACGCATTTCTCCAAATAAACTAAATAAATAAAACGGTGCATTTTTTAAGTGTAGAAGATATTTGCACAATGGCGCCACCTACTGGCCGCTCCTGCAAACAGGCCGACTCCTGAACTACTGCAGGCAGATGGTGAAGTTTGACCCAGGCGGGCGGCTTGGAGCCATTTTGTTATCGGTGTATGAGTGTGAAAAACAGCAACACAAAGCACAGAACAACAAGTAGAACAAACCAGTTGTGGATCTGAGACTTCTGCCAGCAGCTTTATCTTTGTGACATCTACTGGATTTCAATGGGGAAAAGTTCTCAGCTGTTCAGGCACTGTGGGGATGGCAGCGTTTTCTTTTACTTTTTACAATCTTTCAGAACAACTCTTCATATTTGGTGGAATATGGAATTTTAGGGTAAAGCCGGACCCCTGACAAATGTGAAAAACGGATAAAGATGGAGGAGTTGACAAAGCAATATTTTTGACTCCTTCCTGTGGATTGACTTTCATGGGACACAGTTCCCATTAAGATGTGGCTGGCCACAAACAGCCTATGGTTGAGATAATGTGATTTTTTTAAGCACTACTTTGTGGATACCTACAGAGCTGATTATGTGAGACAAAATGTTCAGAAAATGACCATCCACACTTCGAGAAGGAACACTACCGATCCTATATGAGAGTCACGTTTGAATAGATCATAATAATTAGATTGTGTTTCGGGCAGAGGTGCAGCGTTTATAGGGAAGAGCACTGACCGACACACAGTGCCAGGTAGAGAATGCCGAGTCGGATGTCCAGCCTGAAGAAGAGAATGGCGTTTGCCACTTTGCTGAACATGAACAAGTTGCCGATGTGCTGCTCCACCGTGACTGAGACAGAAAAGACAGGAAGATCAGTAACCGAGGCAAAGAAAGCTCATTCTCAGCAAGGTCAAAAGAGGGTGGGATCACACCACACACTTAATGTTTACACCACAAAGGCAGTGTGTTTCAGTGAATTACTTCCTGGTGGAGGCTGTGTGTGTGTGTGTGTGTGTGTGTGTGTAGGGGGGGCTTAGGTAATTTGTTGTGGAACATTCCACATTTCACCTTAATAAATATAAAAAGCCTTGCGTCTCTGTTGCTTTATAACTTAATCGTAAACTTAAGGGCGTGGGGTTAACTGAGACTCACTTGCTCTTCTGTTCTTCATCATCACTATGGCACTGAGAAACATGAGGATTTCCACCTCTCTCTATATGAAGAAAAACACCACTTTATTAAACTGATTTGTCACAAACGTGCTCCTCTTAGAGAGGCTGACTTAGGCCCACTATATTTAACAGCAGTGCAACACTATACCCCCCTCCTCCCCCCGCCCTCAGCATGCTCACCCAGTCAAAGTCGCAGGAGTTGCCGTCCTCCCTGTCGGTCGCCAGGTGCTCGCAGAGACCAGGAGCCTTTCGGAGCAACGGGAAAGCAATGGTCATGAAGAATGAAGCGACGTAGTAAGGCTTCAGTAGCCATTTGTAGATCTGCGGAAGGTGGTACAAGAAAGTGCACACTCCTGTGATTAAACCCATGCCGCCGGCAGAGAGGACAGCCCACCACCGCTGGTTTTTAGAGGAGAAATGAGAAGTCGGGCGCATGGGCGGTAACACGCATGCGCCGAGTTGTCCGTATGTGTCATTTTTGTGCGCGGCCGCTCGCCGTAGATTTGGCGGGTACTGTGAAAACGTCAACAGAGCTAACTGAACATGGAGGAAAGCAGCGCGTCAAAACAAGAAGAAGCCAGAGGGAGTAAGGAAGACTGTTCGGAAAAGCAGACCAATGCAGCCACGGAAGAAGCCAGTTCACAGATGTCGAACGCAGGAGATTGTGGTAAGCCGACGCAGGATACGGCTGCCCGGTTCAACCGACTGAAGCTGTTCGACAAAGTGATGCAGAAAAGCCTAAGCAAGTTCATAGAGCATGCCAGGTAACGTTACCTTTGCCGGTTTCCTTAAACAACAGCATTTATATTTATTGATATTTAATCGACAACACAGTTCTCGACCATTTAATAGACTAAACAAGGTCTTGTTTTATATTGAAAAATAGGAACCTAAAATTACAGAAGACATCATTTTCAGGTTGCATCTTGTCAGAAATACCATTTATTTTTCTTTAAAATAGTTGAAGACACGATGGCATCAAGGATAAGAAAATTGTTGCCAATAAATATAGATATTGTTATAAGCTTTTTCTCAAAGCAAGAATGTGGTTGACACTACTTTCTGCCTCAGTTTTAAAGGTTTCTCTGGTATGTTTCATCCTCTGTACAAGAAGAACCCTCAGAAGATGGAAAGCATTCATAAACAGTTCACAGAAGAGCTCCAGAAATCTATACAGGTGACCTGCACAATTTAAATGAAGTCAAAATTATTTTAGAATATAATCCACCACTAAATACTCCAGTACAGCACCTTGGAAACCTTTCAGGTGAATATTTACAGAAGAAAGGCAAGTAATTGGTACACATCTGAACAGTGTCTGGTAAAATATGTATAACCAGCATTTGGCACCAGGCAGATCCCCAAAGACGGATGAAAACATTGTTGACTAATTGTATTCTATGAAATAGCTTCCGCCTGGAATTAAAAGCTGTGTATTTCCTTTCCATGTTCATGTAACTGATTTATGTTTAGTTAATTTCCCCCCCAAAAAAACTTTACAAAGTATTCATAAATGGCTGTAAGTTAAGAACAGAAAATATAACTATTTAGAGTTGCTTGTAAATTAAACATACGCTTTGAAATGATTTGAAAATAAACTGGGTGATGTGGAGGCCTGTCATTAATTACAGTTGTGTTGCATTGTGTCCCTTTTCGTATGAAGGACGACATCAGCAGACTTATTGAAGAAGGTATGTTAGAGTTCAAACTGAATGAGCTGGACAAGATGGAGAGTGCTGCGAAGAGCAATCCAGACCCTGCATGGTGAGATTTCAGCCACTGCCTTTTCTTTTTTTTTTGTTACATGGAATCATCTACTGGCCACATTTCAAGCGTTTGACTGAATATGCTCATTATCACTTTGTACAACTCCTCTAATATTTTTTAAATGAATTACCAAAGAGAAAAGAGACAAAACAATCAAACCAGTCATTTTCTTTCCTCAAATGTTTAGCCCTAGAATCATTTGCTGAACAAAATCCACTAAGATCAAAACCTGTCATACATAATCAAATGAATGAATTTGTATAAAATATTTAAGTAATTCATTTTAAGATGTACTTTTCAGTCACTTTAACTTATTCTGAGCAAAAGTACTTTCTCATCTAATATTTGCTTCCCTTAGGCGACCGAGTGGGGATCCCGAGCAGGACTTTTGCAGTTTTTTGATGCCATACTATTTTAAGCAGGAGGCCTACATTCGACTGGAGTTGAAAAAGATTCAGGCAGAGAATGCTGCTCTGGCTCAGAAGGTTCAGGCTGGCAGAGAGACGATTGCCCAAACCGAGCAACGTATTTCGACAGCTGTGGATGAGTGCAAGGTGGGAGAGAAATAACTGATCTGCTAAAGAGGCTTTGGTTGTATAGGGTGCTATCATGTAAAATCTGTTCTTTTTTCAAATATGTGCTGTTGGTATGCAGAGACTCATTTCCTATAAAGACTTTTTTCGTTTACTTTTCACTTTTATTTCTATGCTTTTAGTTTTTCCTTTTATTTATTTATTTTTATCAAATGGTCTGCATTTCAAAAAGGAACTAAAACTATCTTAAAATAATTTGGCTTTTGGTGTTATTGATTAAATGAACATTTTTTATAGACTTGTTTGAAGTTTAAATTAGTTTCCTAATTGCATCATAAATGTCAAATATAAAACATCCGCATGTCTTGACGTAATTTGTTTTTTTCTCTTGTTTTCAGGCATCGATGACAGAGTTTGAAGGGTTTACTTCTTCTCTATGCCCTGCTGATATTTTTGATGTGTGAACTTCAAATTATTCCAGTGTCAACTTCCTCAACTGTACATACTCTGTTTTCTGTGCTATTTGTTGAATAAACTAAATGATAGAAATCAACAATTTGAGTGAATGCATTATTGTCAAAGCTGCAACTCATTTTTATTTCTCTGTTGTTGACAAAGAATGGAACGAAATAGCTTTGAAATTTTTGTTAAGAATCCTTGTTCTTGGTTGTTTAATTGTACCGAAATTCTATTTATGTTTTCGCAGGTCAATAATAATAAACACTGCACTATCCCCTTTTTCCTGGAAAATATACAGTGGCAATGAGAGGTTAGTAAAAGTTAGGTGCGCAGTTCTTTACATTTTGGCTTTGTTATTACGGTGTTGGGCGTGTTTACAGTAGGCATTACGGTAAGTGGGATGTGAAAATAAAGCCACAAAGAAGTGAGTAGAGTAGTTGACGCTCGGATGGATTCGTGTACATCGGTCTTTCACACAGATAATCGATGAGCTAAACGAAACCGCCATTTTTCTCCAACGTAAATGTATTACCGGTAAAAAGAATGACGGAAATATTTTCACCTCCGTTCGGGCAAAATGACCCTCAGGGACAGCCCGTGTCTTCGTCGTTGGCTTTCGGACAAGGGAAACCTCCGCCGCCGATGCCGCAAAATCAAGTCCCTATGACGGGACAGATTCCACCCCAGCTCGGGGATGAAGGGCCTGCTCTGCGGAAGCCTGGAGCCATGAATGAACCCTTCTACTTATTACGAGAGCTTCCTGGTATTTTTGCATTGTCATATCTGCTAAAACAACGCCTGTTATTTATCTTTGAAATAGTTTTAATTGCCATGATAGGTTGCTAAGCAGTTTGGAAACAATGTTGGCTAACGTTGGCTCAGTATTAAGGTTCAAGCTACTATAAAGAGTAAGCTAATAATCGTAATTTGCTCTACCTGTATTTTTTTAAGAAACAATTTTACTTACGTTCGAAACGTAAGTAAACACCCAAGCTTCCGGGTGAAATGTTCTCTTGGTCAGTATTTCTGTTTTTGTGTTTTTAAGAGTTAAGGTTACATAACTTGCTATAATTGTATAACATGCTTTAATCACAAGAATGACCATCAGTGTCGCATCACCTTGATATTCTCACCTATTTTAACAAGTAGTCTGCTTTTGTTGATAAGTAAAAATAATGACCATTTTGCTATATATTTTTAACCCACGTCCCACTCATATAAACTTTGATTTTAGTTGGAAACGAGTTAACGGGAAACACCAACCTCATCACGCACTACAATCTGGAACACGCCTACAACAAATTCTGCGGAAAGAAGGTGAAGGAGAAGCTCAGCAACTTTCTGCCAGAGTTACCAGGTCCGTTGTTTTTTCACACATTAACACTAAATAATACATGTACAATAGTTATTTCTGATAGGTAGAGAGAGACTTGTAGAGATGAAACATTCTTACTTAGTGTTAATTGTGAACAGGATCTGGTCCCTCCATTTTAGTGTAATATCCTTAGGTTACTTACACCAGTCTTGATTCCATCTCCAAGTGCTTATTTGCTTTAGGCGTTTTTGATCTGTGCATTCCAAATCAGCTTACATTGATGATGGGTTAATTTACCTCACAGCATGAGGGTTCCTGGTTCAAATCCCTGGTGGACCAGGACTTTCCAAAAATATGCTTGTTAGTGAATGTGAGTGTGTGGTCGTTTGTCTCTGTGTGCCCCTGTGATGTACTGATGACCTGTCCAGGGTGCACCCTTCATATATAATTACGACTGCCTACGTTACTGTTGATGTTCCTCTCAAAAGGAGTGTTTGTCAATTGGAGACGCTTTCAGCAGAAACCATCCAAACCAAATGAGTATCTAGGAAGTTTAAGGAACTGGTGAGCTGACTTAGACCTTTTTTTTTTATCTTGAAGTTTTTGTTTTGCAGTTTTTGCAGGATCCAGTTGTATACTCATTTTAGTCAACTTGCTGCAGCCCCACCTCATTATTCACATCTGCCAAACAGAGGTGGATCGTCCTCCCATTAGTGTGTCCTTACACATGTCAAAGACTCAACTGAATGGCAACCACCCTGTTAGCTTGAGTGGGGCGTTAACACGATGCTAGCCTTACAAGGCAGGATCGTTTACCTGTCAACTTCTCATTCTTCATTTGCACTTTAACATACGACGCGATGCACGACAAAGGCACGTCAGCCCCGGCTCAAGAAGGCTTATGTGAAAGAGGCTAAAGTTACATACAAGCAGGTATTTTCCTCAACAGAATGGACATTGTTATTCATGTTACCCATCAGTGGTTTTAGCTTCAAACCGATGGTGAATGTTCAGTTCAGTCTTTGATGCAGTTAGCCAGGTTTCTGTTTTTGATTCGAATTAAGAAGATTCAAAACTGAACAACAAATATATGAATAAATTATCGGCTTATACTGATTTGATACGTTTCAATGTTCATTTAAAGTGGTCAGTAAAGCGTTACCTCCGACCCCGGATAAGCGGCGGAAAATGGATAGATGGATGGATGTCCACTGCAGGTGTTGCTTTGTAGTTCATCTTGGAAATGTGCTCCTGGTTAGGATAACTACATCTACTGACCTACAGCTGTTTGCACTAGAGCCAGTAACTCCAACCTCTGCCTACACTTTGTCAGTAGAAATGCATCTTATTCTGACTTCTTTCTGTAGTTGAGCTTGAGAAAAGAATAACATGTTTTTATTGCCACTCAAGGTGCTAAACCTACATCCGGTGCCGATTTGCCCACCTCAGAATCCACCAAATTTCACTGCTTTGTCTCTGTGAAGTGTTCAGTTAAAACTTTGGTTTTATCCATTTTTAAAAAATCTCAAATGTTGACATACCCTTGTCAGAAAAAACAGCAGGATCAGATTTCACTCTGACATATGGAGGAAGCTCACCAATCCTGGCCTCAGACTCCAACAGGGCTGCCCTGCACATAAAACGCAAATACAGCAGCAGTCAATTACAGTTTTAAGATTTATATCTATTTTATATTCGTTTGTATATTGGTTTGTTTTTGTCTCACTAAATCGCAGTCTTCCTGCTAGGTTTCCAAATTGCTACTGAAATACTGTCAGTTGGCCCAATTTCCAACTCTTAGTTTTAAATTGAGGTAAATGAGGTAAATGAAGGGTATGGTAAAAGAGGCCACTGTATTTTCCCACATGCTCAGAGGGAAAAGGTGGGCAAGGCCTATTCATGTAGTTTTCCGCTGGATCTCTTGTTCATTACTTCTTTAAACTTATTATAAGGCTTCCAGCTTAAGCCCCCGTTTATTGCTCTGATTGAGTTATTTCATTTGGGACACATTTGATTTGATATGTAGCTCTCTTTAATTCGGTGTCCTTTCTCTCCTGTGTGCAGGTATGATCGACTGCCCTGGCTCTCAGGATGGCAGTTCATTGCGTTCCCTAATCGATAAACCGCCAGTTTGTGGGAACTCCTTGAGCCCGCTGACTGGAGCTCTGCTCACAGGCTTCCGACTACACACAGGCCCGGTAACTGTCACCCAGCACAGTGCACACGTTTACGGCATTCAACACCTTCAAGAACAGCGGCTCATACTGACCTGCATGCTTGTGTGTGATGTTTTTTTACCTCCAGCTCCCAGAACAGTACAGACTGATGCACATACAGCCTCCAAAGAAGAAAAGTAAACACAAACACAAGCACCATCGACCTCAGGACCCATTACCACAAGGTACGACAAACTGTTCTCACACTCACAAATCGACAAAAGTACAAAAGTTTTTCTGCCCCGTGACACATTTCTCTGTTGATTTCACAGAAACTCCGTCAGACTCTGATCCCAAGAAGAAGAAGAAAAAGAGGGACGATGATCCAGACCGCAAGAAAAAGAAGAAAGACAAGAAAAAGAAGAAGGTAAGAAATATGTCAGAACCAGAGAAATTCGCTTAGAGTACAGTGTTAGTATTTAGCAGAGATGGATGGAAAATGGTCTCCGTCTGGGTCAACATGGGTCACTGTTAATACCTTTCTCCTCCTCTTTCTTCGTCTTGTGCCTCAGAGCCGCCACAGTCCCGACCACCCCGGCCTCGCTGGATCACAACCCAACAGCAACAGCCTCAGATAGACGGGAGTCCACTGTGTGCATGCCAGTTGGAATGTGTGGGTTTTGTAATAGGATGAGTGTGTTTTACAGGTAATTGTATTATTAAAAGTATGTTTATTGAGTGAAACGTGCCTGAATGATTTGTATAGGTGTGTGTGTGAGTGTGTGAGTGAGCAGCGACACAGTGGATGTCGACGATGCAGAGTTGTTACAAAACAGTGTAAAAAGCCAGAGCAGCTGTGTGGTGTGGAGGATGGCTGAGGAACCACTGTATGTATGTTGCAGTTTCATTTTGTTTATGAGCATAATGCCAAAATCAAATAAACTTTGGTTATTATCTTTGGTTGGATCTGCCTATTTTATCTAATCTTTTCCCCCCTTTGTGTCAGTGAAATCAACTTAATTGAAGCAATCCTACCTGGACACCATCCTAAAAAGGAGAAAATAAAAAGGCAGCCGACCACAAAGTATTAGATAACGGATTTCCTAAACGGCTTGGGGAATCATTTAAAAAATATATTGATAGAATTCTTGTCTGTGAATATTCACTCTGAAGAATAAAACAAACCGTATTTTGTACGTTTCCATTCATGTTTGCCCGTGTTTTAAGAAATGGCTGCTCCTTTTGTGTGTTTTAATGCTTAATGTCTCTGCGCTGTGCATACAGTGTGTGAATCTATGGTTTTAAATCTGGGGTGAACAATGTTGAAGCAAGTCACGAACAGCTCAAAGAAAAAAGATTTAACACAGTACAATTATGTTTAAAATTACAAAGTATTTATTACCTTATCAAATGCATATGCTGGACAAACTGATTTAATGTTGGAAAGATCAATTTAGAAAGACAGTCCCAAAGATACAGTTAGAAGAACAACTGTGCATGTGAGGTTTTGTTTTTGAAGATTCTGAAGGACATGATGAAACAAACCTCAACCACTCGGATAGCTGATGTTAAGTCCACATGTAAAGGCATGAGGAGGTCACTTTGAGTTGTAGGGCATTTACCAGCTCAAACCTGGATCTAATGGCAATTTATTTACGACTAATGCTCGTTATATTGTTCCTGTACGCTCTCCTGAGGTCACATGCACTGACTAACTTTAGTCCCCTAGAGATGGCTTTGGTATTTAGAGAAAGATGTTTGGCAGAGGCATTAATCATAAATTCACTTCTAATGCGATAAAAACACAAGGCTGAAACAAAATGAGTCCAACAGTGCAAAGCTGAGCAGAATGTAACAGCTAAAAGCTTTAAAACCGAGCAAAATGAATCAAAGAAAACTAGGCAAAAAGAAAACGAGTTAAAATATACAATGCAAAAGATTTTAGCGGCCACACAGAAGCAGGCACATCAAACAATATGTTCTCACTTTGGGGAATCTTCAAATTGTTCTGATGCTGATCGACACATGGGAACTGCTGGCTGCAGCTATCTCCTCTCAAAAGTCACACGTGAAATCACTTTTTCTTTTTTTAAATGGAACCACAGCCAGCATCTTCTTGGTTATGGGTCTTATTCTGTACACGCTCATTTATAGTAAAACAAACACACAAAAAACATCATAAAATACACAACACACCTCAGTTCTATTTACAAAACACAAATTTGCAGAAGGTTAGCTATCTCCTAAATCAATACATGACAATAAAGAAAAAGAATACAAAGAAAAATCATCTGAGCTTCTCTTATAATAAGCCTACTACACAATTATTTTCCCTTTTTAATGCTACTGCAACTATAAGTATAAAAAAGACACTTAAATACACATTTTATACACACTAGTTCATTTCTGTGCATAAAGCAGTATAAAGTGTTCCAAAAATATTGACACACACTGTGTGTCACATTGACCCAAATCAGTCACATTTTTTCTTTTAAAAAAATGGTTTTCCTTTATATATATATAAACATGACAGAAAATAAATGTGTGAATTATCATCACCTGTAGAGGCACATAGAAAATGTTTTTTTTTTCACAAAGGGCATTTAAAATCAATTCATTATTTCCAAATGTGGAGAAAGATGGACAGATAGACGTCTGCCCTGGAGACAGTACAAAAAGGGAAAGGAGGTAGATGGAGTATCGCAACAACCAGCCTTTCTTTTACATTGTTTACGTGTGTGTGTGTGTGTGTGTGTGAATGGGCTCAGAAATAAAACCCAAAGGCCCATTCACATGTGCCACCTCTCCACTTTCCTGAATTCTTGACCTTTTAAAAGTTCTTTGATCTTTGAACAGCCTTTCTGATAGTCATGCAGTCTTTCAGTAGAAAAGAGCACAACTGAGGCACTTTTAAACAATACTGACTAGACAGAGGAAACTTTTCTAACGACTTCAAGTGTTCTTTGGTGTTAGCAATAACGGTCGTGATTGTCAGAAAACTAGAAAAATAGCACTTCAAGTACTGCTGTCTTTGCATATGCTTGCAGTTGAACTTTATGGCTTTAATTGACACTTGGATTTGCCTCTTGGACTCGAACCACAATAAATAAACATTAAGAAATGATGATGACACAGCTCGTCCGTAAACTTAAGAAAAGATAAGTATACATCTGACTGAGTTGCAACAAAACGACTCTGTGGTTTTCTTTGTGATGAGCGATTTGGGAAAAAGCATTGACTAAAAAAATAGAAATAAAATAAAAAGCCTCTGAAGGAGGATGGTCATTTCAGGGGCGTGCGGGACAACAGGTCTAGCAGTTCCTCTGCTGTTGCTCAGGCCTCGGCAGAAGTGAAGCCGTTGGTGTGAGGTTTGTGGCCGTTGGCCTCCGAGTGCTTTAGGGCCTGCATCTCCTGACTGGCGCGCTGCTTGTCCCTGACCTTCTTTTCCCTGAGCAGGTTTCTGCGGTGGTAGAACAGATAACCTGGCAACAGGAAGCCGAAAAATGAGAGTACCAGCAGGCCCACGTTGATCTGAAAGAAAAGAAGATTAAATGAACAACATTTTAATCTTCGTCACACAACCACAAACTCTCACATTCACTCCTAGGGACAGTTTAGAGGTTTCATTTAACCGAACACGTTTTTGGGAGGCAGCCAGAGAACCCAGAGCCACACACACAGGAACAACATGTAAAATCCACGCCACCAAGCTGCCCCGGACACAAAGTTCTATTACCGACCCTCCCCTTTAGAATTGACATCATTTCAAACACTTAGTGACGCTTTGTGCTTTCTTGTGTTGGAGGAATCATCAATCACTGAGTGTGTGTCTCACCCAGTAAGCATTTGCGTGCAGATGTGCGACCATGATGATGAAGAGCGGCTGCTGCAGCAGGGCCACCACCGCGCTGATCATGGACTGGAGCCCCGTCAGGGTGCCAAAGTGGTTGGACGGGTAGCTGTGGAAGAGGCACGGATTAACAGCGAGCCACCAGTTCATCAGACAGATCTTAAGTTTTTGTTTTGCCAAACAGTTCTAGATCTGTTTTAAAGCTCTGCTTTATGTCTGGTGTTTATGTGGTGCTTCGAACTGACTCCAAATGAGCCAGAAAATAGTTTAAGGTCAAATTTTTAAGCTCTCACTGCAGCACCATCTAGTCACGACCCTGAATTCTATCATGTCACTGTTTAAATCCGTGTGATCCAAGCAGGAATGTGATTGCGCTCTTTCCGTGGTGATGTTTCGCGATGTGTCCGTGGCACACTCACACAGCAGCGTAGAGGCCCCCGCAGCAGGAGTGGATGAAGCCTCGGACCATTGTGTGGAGGATGAAGGTCAGAATCTGCAGCAGAAAAACAGGAAAAAAAGCAAGATAATCAATGGGTTTCAACCAGCGGAATTTAGTCTGGCAGCTCCAAGGCGTGTGTTTGCGTGCTACCTGTAGAGGCAGGTTGTCAATGAGACAGCAGAATCCAAAAATGATCAACAGAATGTTGGTGAAAACGAAGGCCCTCATGGCGTTGGTCAGCTTCTGGATCTTACGATCTCTTGTGGGTCCACTTGTCGGCCTGATGGAGGAAAAGTTAGTTTAATTTACTTTTGTGTTCATCTGATACATGACGCATGGTGTCAAAACATCTGGAGAAAGAGCTTCACAGGCCTGTGGTCTTTCACTGCACGTACCCTTTGTCTGAACAAGAGGAGTTAGGCTTGTCATCCGCACACTCCTTCATCTTCCAGTCCATGATGTAGCCGATCAGAGGACAGGTGAGCAGGCAAAGCAGCTGCAGTGTGCCAAAGATGGACGAGTAGAAGTTAACTGAAAGAGAAAATCCATGTCAAACGGGGAAAAGTTCGATGCATGGTAAGCTACATTAAGCGTGAAAGCCTCAGGCAATCAGTGCTCACCTTTCTCCTTCGCCTCAAGCACCATTTGATCAGTTGCTGAAATACAGATATGATTTTAATAACATGGAATACTCTGGGAAAACCCCCACCCTTTAGTTAAAACATGCTTGGCCACTCACGATGATCTACTCCATGTGTTACCATGAACTCCAGCATCTTGTTCATTGCCCCCATGAAAAAGATGATCCTGAGCTGCGTCATCCCCATGGTGATAAGACTCCACAGGAAGATGGGGGAGAACACAGACCGGCGGAAAGGAACGGCATCTTGGAGAGGAGGCGGCGGAGAGGTGTTTTTATTTACATGTACAATGTGTAAAATGGTTCTCAGACTGGGGAATGCAGTGTTTTTTGACTTACTGGGCGCCGTGTCCGGACCGTTAGGAAGCTTTTCCGTGGAGTGTCGGATGTCTCCGTTTTTCTGTCCCAGCCTCTCTCCGACAGTCTTCTGCTCCGATGACGGCAACTCTTGCAGAGTGAGGATCTTGCTGTAATGGGGGGGTGAGGGCCTTCGTTAGAACATCGTGTGTCTTACCCTAGCTGGAGGAGAGGCGACGGGCTGTCACACTAACCTGTAGTCCACCTCGTCAGGTGTGGGGAAGCCCTCCGCCGGCCAGTTGAGAAAACAGTTACAAAAGACAAAGCCTGCCAGGCCGGCCCACATCCACATGATGACCTGGAATGACACCCCTGCGTCGTAGATCAGCTGGGGAGGACAGAGGGACATTTACATTAAAACTCCTCTTGTGTTGAAAAAAGCACAACACATGTAAGTTTCTATCTCAGAAAAACAAGATATATCAGGACAATATCAATATGTTAACCATGCCAAGACTCCAACTTCACCAGTTATCGGTTATCTTACTAAAACATGCAATAATGAGGGAGGAAGCTGGAGCACAACTCACGTAGGCACAGGGAGAACATTTAGACATTTAGACGTTTAGGTTTGTCTTTTGACAACTGTGAACACAACCGCTGTAAGTTACCTTCACGCCTGGGAAGGTGACAGCAGAGGAGGCGTAGGAGCCGATCATCAGAGACATGATGGTGGAGCTCTGAGAGCCAAACATGTTGGGAAGCTGAGGGACAAAACACAACACATACAGTCACTGAAATAAGTTCAGTTATCAGTGTGTGTGTGTGTGTGTTCATGCACCGTCCTGAGGTGCACCAGCAGAGGGCAGGCAGATGCTGTGTGTGTGTGTGTGTGTGTGAGCAGCATGAACAGGCACTCCTCTGTTCCACAGCGTTTGCACTCAGTAACTCCACGCAGGGGCAGACTCATTAAAAAAAATAAAAGAAATCACACTTTCCATGTCATGGGAGCCGAGAAATAAGTCTCAGTCTCGTTTGGGCCCTGAACCCACAGTTCAAACAAAGATTAAGCTATACTTAGTCACCATTCGCCATATTGCAGTCTCAACAAATTCCAAGACTTTGGATTAAAAACGTGGAAGCCGATCTATGGCCAGCTTTCGACGAACTTCACAGGACTCTTTAGACCCACCACGAGGGCCTGCATGACACACGGCGAAACGTACATGGTGGCAGGCACCAACACATCATATATTAGGTTGACCTATTTACAGTAATAAGTAGATTATAAAACACAACAATGACCTGTTGTGCTGTCCTTTGATTTGAGTTTTAAATGGGTCGATCATGATTAGAAAAATCACATGTGAGGGATTGGCCGTGCGGCCTGACAAACTCCCTGTTCTCGCTCAGCGCTGACCACAGACTTTTCCAGGCTCCTGCGAGCGTCACCTAATCTCCCCGCTGGGTCAGAGTTCACTCAGCCGTGTCAGTGACCCTTTCTTCATTCGCAGTGATCTCTGTGGGCGACATCTATAAGACATTAATGAGCTGTGGGCTGGGTTCAGGCCCTGGCCTTTATATGGGGGGGACGTGGAATACGAAGGACTGAGAAATGGAGCATTTAGCCGGAGGGATGTCAGACCATTCTGATTATACACTAAGCTATATCAACACTTGATTTTCAAGTTGAACAAATTAACTGAGAACAAACTCACAGCTACTTATTAGCAAATTTTTTAATTCACTCCGGGACATCTTCTATGTCCATGAAAAATCCCTTCTGCTGCAAAAACAGCACAGATCATACAGAGAACACGAACTTACAGACCGGACTGTAAAAGCAGATGACTCTTGAGGAGTAAACTTCTTAAACTTTTGTGGAGCTGAAGGAAGCTGCAGATTCTGAAACTAATCCTCTGTGATCCCATGTTAACATAAACACGGTGATTATCGCAGCTTAGACTGTAACTGGAATCTGAAATCTTCTAATAACTCTGAAACTGATGATCATTAGGTCATGACTCGCTGCAGTCTGTGCCCATTGCCACTCATCTGGGCAGAAATGTACGAGTTCTGCTAGCCAAGTACGGAAACAGGTCAGGGACCGAATTGGACGAGGCAAATTTCTTTTGGCTTTTACAGCTTGTAGGATAGAGGGGCAGAAATATGAGTGTGGAGCGTGTGTGTTGTTGTTTGCGCTGGGAGGCTGACCGCCGCATTAGGACGGCAGCACAGGAACGGTCCGAAGCCTGAAGGATACAGCGTGTGCCTGTGCTGCAGGGGGAGGCATGAGGTCACTTCCAGAGCTGCTACCAAGCGGTTAGCAGGTAAACAGGAAAAAAAAAAGTTTCCTCTGGGTATTCGAGAGGGAGTCAGACTGTCTCAATGCGATGAGAAAAACATTACAGGGAACACCTGTCTTCATTCACAGCTTCTGAGAATCCTCCACATCACCTACATGGCTATAGGAGCTGCGGTGCCCCCCATCCCCCCGGGCTGCACCGGTTTGTGGAATTTATGTGACAGAGCATACAAACTTGGGAATTTGTGTCTCTCACTGCCATTGAAGAATTCCAACAGCGTGAGATATATAATAACCAACGTTGGCTCTCATGCAACTGACCACCCCCCCCCGTCCTGAAAGATTTGTCTGAGGTACACAAGGCAAGTAAAAGTGTGAAATGCGTGCACATGAGCCTCGCATGACCAGCAGGTCCCATAAAGTACATATTTCACACAGAGCACGCAACACATGTCCTGAATGCAAGCACGTGACTCTATGGAGGCACACAAGGGTCAACCGGTGTCAGAGAGACACAAATGGAGCTTTGGCCTTTGGTTTGTCACGAATAATCAGTTCAGGCTCTGCTCCTGCTGTGCTCGCTCATTTGAGTATGGTAAGATTCTGGCACTAGATTTAATTAAGACCTTAATCATTGGGGGAATGAGCCAAATGGTAGATTAATGTGCTTAGAGATGTGTTTCAGCGCTAACCATGTGGAAGAAAAGGTAAATTACAGGAAGAGAAAGTGGAAGAACGTGCAGGAGAGGAGGAGTGCAAGGGACTGGAACAAAACTCACGACAAAGGAAGTTAGTGGGAGTAATGCTTTGAGCTTTGACTGATCTCTGCATGCTGCAGCTGGAGCTCCTCACTCTGTGGAGAACCTAGCAGGAAACCCTAAACCACAGCTGATGAGCAAGGGCTTCTCATTTCCACCTCCACTCCCTGCCGCCTTCTATCTGCTCTCAGATTGGCCGAGCCGTCTCCCCTCGCGTCCAGCTGCAGCGGACTTGCATAACATGTAAACTGGTCAAATGTTAAGAAATGTATGAAGGCTTTTGAAGTCGCTTTGTGTTTGACCCACGGAGCCGTCCTCTGTTCCCCACAGTGGTTTCTATTTGCTGAACAAATTTTACCGACAGCTTTCAAAACTCCAGCATGGAACAACTGAACACACATTTATCACCAGCGTGTGATCAGACAGGCCGCTGCACACACACCTTCTGTCTGAGGGGAATCTCCCACGGGGGACTGAACCATCTATGTACCAACTAACTTTATGAATGTCATATCAGTCTCTGTATTTCTAAGTTGTTACCTCTTTTAATCATGTATTGAACTATAATTTGAACTTTAGTCACAAACTCATTTGGCACAGTAACTGTGACCTTCGAGGTGTTTCTGAACAGAAAGGCTCCATCCCGCTCCACTTGCCATTTCTATGGTCATGTTGCCAAAAAGGAAATGGATTACTACATCTTAATACAATACACACAGAAATGGGAACACATCTAAAAATAAAACAAGGCTAATTCAACTGGCCGAATTATGTAGTGTAGTTATTGCATCAACGATATCCGATACTGATCTTCAAATCAGAAGGATTTATGCCACAATCTGCCATTCTGTTTGGGCCTAAGATGAACTAATAACTTACGGTAATATTTCCCAAAAATTAAATAATAATAATCATTAAACTGATACTGCTGTAAGTAATGCAAAAGACTTCTAAAGCACACAATGTTAAGTAATGACTATTGCAGTATCTACTACAGCAGTTATGACCTTTTAATTTCATCAACAATTTCAGTTATTACCCTCGGGCACATGGTTTCCGTCACGTCTGTGTGCCTTTGTCCTTGTGCTCATTTGCTGATCAGAATGCCAACTAAAGTGTGGAGGTCAGTGAGCGCCAGTAAACCCAATCATATGTGTGGACAGAGGCAGCAGGAGCAACGCAGGTCAGATGGGGACAAACGGGAAAGGGGGGGATGCGATAAATCTTGTGTTGGTGTATGTGTTTATTGGAACACAGTGAACACTGTGAGTGTGTGTCTATGTGTGTGTGAATGTGAGCTCAGCTCGGCCAAACACTGAACAGACTTTCCATGCTTCTGTGATGCCTCTTCATAGTTCCACTAAGGTGAAGTCACAGGGATCCGCATTTACTTTCCAACAACGAACGATCGCGGATAGCAATTTTGTGGCCACAAAGGTTGAACCCTGTTTGACTTTATGTCATATAAATCTTCCCCTGCTTCTGTAAGCAACTTGTGGTCTTTAATTAGCCTTTTGAATACCTTCAAATTCTAAGATATGAGAGGGAATGTCCACATGTGTTAACCACAAGTAACTGTTTCAATCAACACTTGTAATTCAGAATTGTGCTGTTTTGCTGTTTGGACAACTTAATCTCGTTCATAAAATAGTCACACACTGTAAACTGTAAACAAATCTAACCCCTTTTCTTGTGCTGTTCAAAGACAAATGCCAACATGCACTGATCAAATATGGCAGGGGCTCTGCGAACACTAAAAGGGTCTGCTTGTCCGCGCTAAAATGTATTTTATTTAAGATATCTGACAGTTCCCAGTTCCCTGTTCTGGAAAGGACGAGTTATTCACTAGTTCCCTGCAGGGCAACAGTTTCTGACATTAAGATGCTCACAGTGAGCTATAGATAACCTGGACCATTAACAATCCCCTTAAACCATGTCACCTAAAGTGGGAGCATGATGGGTGCACATGTCTCTTATGAAACTGCATTCTCAGTTGTTGTTTTCGAGCAACCTTTGTTTTCATAAAGGTCTGTATAACATTATGACTAAGACAGGTGCTCATTTCCACAGAGTCATGCTCCAGCCAACACACGGACAAAAAAAAAACCCTGAAGAATGACGTCATCAGTCCATATCACCCTGAACCCTCGCTGTCCAAACATCAGTTTCATGCTTATTTGTGCACACAAGACCAAAATGGCACAGTCACGGAAAAGTGACAATATGTGTGCTCAGTGTTTTGTAAAGCAATGAAACATGATAAGACCGGGAAGAGAGGACATGGGATGGATCAGGAGCCACATGATTAAAATTTGCCCTTGAGTATTTTGAGTAGAGGTGGGTGGGGCGAGCTTTGGGGAGGGTGTGTGTCTGACCACAGGCTTTCATTGGTAGAAAATAAATTATAGACGGTCCACCTCTGATTTGTGATTTGAGGCCAGGATGGAAACACAATGTTCCCGCACATGGCACAAACAAGCGTGCTTGCCAGGACACAAGATACAGGGGCAACAAGAAAAACTCTTGACAAGGTTGGTGACGAGTGATACATTGTACCTCGTAACGCTTGCCTGACGTGAGCGTAAACAAACACAGCTCCCAGCCACAACACTGTTTCCTCAGCTGGGGCAAACACAAGTCCTGACCACGCTCAGGCTATCAGTGACCAACACTTTTTCCGCTCGTGTGTTCCAGGTAGAAATTTCGACATTGGGGCTTTCTCCGAACACAAGTTATGTAACCTGTTCTTCCAACTGCTATGTTAAAAGAAAGTCAGCCACACCTTGTCCAGACAATAGTTTGCACTAATTAAGCCCCATACCATCATACTATCAGCTCCGTGTTTAACCGTGGCGGTCCCAGCCACAGTCATGTAAAACACATACTTCCAAGTGAAACAGATGTATTTTATTGACAATCACGGGCTTGTGCGATTATGTGGCCTCTGTGACTTGGAAAAGGTCTTAGTGCCAAAACTATGTTTAGATATGCTGTATTTTCCTGTTTCCTGGTCTTATCGCTGTTGTTGTGTGTCTTACCGTGATGGAAGTGAAGGTCAGGCAGATGCCTCCGAAGCCGTTCAGGGAAAGAGCCAAGAAGATGAGTGGGGACAGATCTGCGGATAAAGACCTGAATGAGAAAAGCTATACCTCAAACCAAATTCTGATGTTACAGGTACAACACTGGGGACTCATGCTATGTGTTCCTTTTTGTCTACTAAGAAACAAAAGTCAGCAGTTCTTCCACCTCATCAACAATATATTTCCGTGTAATTGTTTTTACTCACCATAAGGATTGTAGGCAGATGCGGCCATTATAATACACGACAAGCCAAAACATGAGCTGCAATAAAAAAAAAAAAGGTAAAAATATTAACCAGGAGAATACTTGTAGAAACTCCCCTCAGGCCATAATTTTCTGGAAATGACTCACCAGTGTCTGAGTCACCAGTGTGACACTTTTTTAATTGAAAGCAAACAGGTATTCCCACAGTGTTCAGTAAGGCATGTAAATGTGGAATTTTTCAACTAAATGTTGTGACAAACATTGACATTACCAGCTTCATGTTAACAGAACATCGTCATTTAATCAGACCAGAAAGTAGAACTGGGTTCATGTCTCCAGTGTCATTTATGGAGTTTGCCCTTCTAAAGCGTGCTTTCCCCACGCACACGCACACACACACACACCTACACACACGTTTGTCAATTGGTTTACACACTGAGAAAACCAAACTAACTCTTGTTCCCATGTAAGGAATGTCACCCGTCCACTTACAATATGACAATATGCTTCCTAGTAAAGAAATAGATGGCAATTCTGTGAAGAGTTATAGATGGTTATTTTACATCCATTACCTGCCCACCAGCCGAATTGGACGAGGACCATACTTGTCCATCAGGATTCCGAGTGGCAGAGTTGTGGCGCTGAGCAGGAAGGAACCTATGGTGAAGCCCAGATTGAGCATCTCCTCCTGCTCCACGCAGCTGAGCCACTTTTCCACCTCCCCGTGTGAGGAGTTGACCAGGGTCTCATTCCCTGTGGAAACATGTGTGATGTTTATGCATTTAGCAGATGCTTTAGCTGACGATAAAACCTTTTAAGGATTACAGTATTAGTGAAGACATTATATCCATGGTCAATTCAATGCAAAGTAAAAAATCACTGATGAACAATTGTGAACCCAATTGCAAAGAAACCTTTTAAATACACAAATAAAAATGTGGAAAAATAAACTCACAAGACCTATATGAGAAACCCATGACAAGAGCTCAGTTATTATCATTGGTTTCTACTAATCCTGTATTCCTAAGGAGGGCAAAACTGCATAACAAATAAAAACTTGGGTTTCAGGAGGTTAAATGGTTTATTTTCAGGAAAGGCCTGTCAAGAAGCCATTGCCTCATGATATTCAGTTTGTATTACGACATCCTGGCCCCAGGCCTGTTACAAACGGAGTCAATTCACTTCATTATGGTACACACAGAAGCTGATGCTTTTGATTTTACCCGAGCACAGGTGGGAGTAGAAGCCTTCCCTCTTCAGCATGATCAGAAGGGAGGCCCAGCCCAGCAGCACGGCCGAGCACAGCAGGTTTTCAATCACCGCCGTCACCGCCATCCACCAGCGCCTTCTGTAGGCTTGGACAAGAGAGGGCGCCATGGCTGCTGAGGAGGAAGACGAGGCAGAGGAGAGAGATGAGGAGTGGAAGTGAACATTTTGAAATCATAGTCAATCAGACTGCCTTTGCTTCATGCAAGTATACGAACATCAAACCTCTCAACTAATAAAATGAGTATATTTAAACTCTTCTTTAGAGCTAAGATGGCATGATGTCTTTTTTTCCCAGAGCCTTTTGTCACAGATCTCACGGTAGCCGAGCAGATGCAGGTTCAGAATAGGTGCCTTCACACTTTGTGGTTCGCTGTTGAACGAAAACGAAGCCTACAGAGTTAAACAGTAACCCTTCGCTAGCCTCCTCACTACAGTTCAACTGGAACAAAACTCATTGGGTTAGTTTCAAATAACTCAGTGATAGGAGAAAAGACAAGTTCATCATTCAGCAACCTCTGTGCATTTTGTCCTGTTATGTTTGTTGAAGTTACAGATGCATTTAGCTTATAAAAGCCACTGAAGTTTGTGGTGTGGACTTGTATTGTAATGTTTCGACCACAAACTGTGGCACAATGCTGCCTGCTCTATAGCAGAGGATGCTTTATACTGAACGGCTGAAAATGAACAGCCTGTTCATCATATCAGCCCGTGCAATGATGTGGCTGCTGCTGCTGGTGGTGTTGCTTCTAAAACCAACACTAGCCAGCTTCCACTAAACAAGCTCCCCCTTCAGTTCACAACTTTCCAACTAAAAGTTGCACTTTCATCTTTTCAAATAAGATGCAGTTGTTCTTTCAAATTAAGTCAGAAATCCAAAGATAACAAATATTTGTGCAGAAGTGTAAGAATATACCTGAACCAGCTTGAACAGTTGCTTCAGTTTGTATACTTAATTCATTTCTCCTTACAAGGTGGCTAAATGTTTTAAGCTCTTGCACAAAGAGCTCACACAAGCTCAAATCCATTGAGAAGGCAAAGATACTCGCAACGTGATTTTAATAATTGATAACCCAGAGCTCTGAGAGGAAAGGTTTTGTATTTTGATCCTCCAAAAACATTCCCCATTGTTTCACTCTACTAATGTAACATAAGACATGGGGAAGTTTTAAGAGATGTTTTTCTTTTTATCTTTGAATGTGCTCTGGAGTTCCTCACTCTACTATAATGACATCATTTACCTCTTTGGAGACCGTCTGCTAAACATTGCCCTCGCTTTGCATAATGATTGCATCTAAGAGAGGCGACTGTTTAGGAAACACCGGAGAGGTCACCCGACACCCCCACTGCATTGTTCACAGCGATCCGGTGACTGTAAACTGATAAAGCAGCAACGTCACCGTTGGTCCTGCCAGCAGAAACAGTGCTGAGCACTCAGTCCGTTTTCTCTTGTCCTGGAAATTGCGGCGGCACCTTTAAAAGCAGACGTTTCCATCTGTAAGCAGCACGCATTGTCTGCTTTAGAGTGGGCCGTCGTTTAGCTTTATCTGATGTAGATAATCACGTCAGGAGCGTTGCCACCGTTATGCAAACGTCGGTGAGCTCTCAAACAAAAAAAGGTTGAAAGTGACCAGCTAAAGGGGGGGAAAAAAAGTCAGGTCAGTCGTGACCACCCTGAAAACATCTGAACGGTGCCAGACGAGACAGGTCAGTGGTCACTTTAACCTGCAGCAGTCAGGTCAAATATGACTGCATTTCTCAGGAGTTACGCACTCATCTGGAGAGCATCTAAAAAAACACAAATATACCAAAGTAACTCGCTCTCTGGGCCATTTACAGGAGAGGGAGGGGGGGCGGAGGGGCCGGAAACCCTTCAGAATGGAGCGTGCTCATGGGGCTAACGACACACGGGGGCTCCGACTGGACCCCTTTATCCCTGCGTGTGTGTAATACGATTACGCACAGTCCAGCGAGCCGCCTCAGAGCTGAAAAGACAGTTTGAAAAGGAGGATTTCTTTGTAATTGACACCCCGCGATGAAAACCCCTCGAAATCTCTGAGCCTCACACACACGCTGAACTCAATGGTCCACAGCGTGGAGGTGACAGAGCTCATTCAGTCAGTTATGTAAACATGCAGCCCACAAACCCGCCGGTTAATGAAGTCACCCGGTTAACTTCTTGAATGAGCGCAAAGCTAAGCTCCCGACGTGGCTGCTTTCAAACCAGCCGCACTCTTCCTCATCAGGTAAAAATGTTATATGTTCCCTTAAATGGTTGTTTTTTTACTGGTGCTTTAGCTTTGCTGTTTAAAAGGAAAAAGAAAGTCATTCATTATAATTATCATAACTAGTTAACATAACTTTTTTTCATCAAAAAGTCTTGTTCAACACAGAGTGACCCTACATGATGCAATCTTCTCATCTTGCTGTAGTTATGGGTTTATGCCCTGGGAGGTTAAGGCAGTTAGTGGAATGGTTAACACCAGCCCCCCTCCCAAAAAAAACACAAAAGGGTTAACACACTACTACTGCTGGCAGTGGACTTAACCAGCTTGTTTTAGGGCGGGTAAACACAATTCCAAAACCTGTTCAAACACCCACTTTCTGGACCAAACACACCACAGGAAACAGGCCACAAACTTCAGCCAGCGCCGAGTTCAAAGAAAGAGAAGTTAATGCGAGACATCAGCAGTTTGATTTGGAAAAATCCCCGTTGCAATCTAATCACTGGGTACACAACACTGGGTTTCCCGTTTTTGTTTTCACAAAGAACTGGGATGCATGTCACATTTTGGCCGCATTTAAATTGAATCATCCTCATGTATGAAGAGCTGTATTGACTTCACTCCACTCTGAATCTGCTCTGTGGACATTTTTGGCGTCTTCCTCATCCACCGAAAGTTAAAGGTTGAGTATCGTCTTTGATTTGGCATAAACTGGGTTCAGATATGTGCGTCTAGGATGGAAAGAGGAAAGACTCGACCGAGAGCGATGCCCTAAGAGTTCTGCTCTCCACCGACTCATACTAGAGCCCTCTGGCCCTTCACTCAGGAGACAACGGAAAAAGGAGACCCCAAGTCCTGTATGTGCGTTGTTGTGGTGTCGAGTTCTCATTGTGTGCCTGGGCTCAGGTCAAATAAAACACGTGGACGACAGACAGGGAAACAACTTAAGCGGGACACATTCCCAACCTCCACCACCGCATTCCACATTCTTCTCCAGCTAATGACACAGGGCGGCTCGTCCCTCGTGCGAACGCCACAAAGTCAACACAACAAAGAGCCGCCGACAAGTACAACCTGTAAGCAATGTGTTTTAAGGGTTGGCAGGCAGGCGGGAGCTGCTGTCATGACACCGAGAAGTGTGTGCTGCGTTTGTGTGACGGAAGCCTTCGCCGGGAAAAATCCATTTAAGGAAGCCGGCTCTGGAAATACCTGAGCTCCAGCAGCATGATGCAATGCTGGAGAAGCTTTGCTCATGGGGATAGCTATATATACACACATATTTACATTCATAAATACATATATATGTATTTAAATATTATCTCTGTATGTATATGAGCTTGAGCAAAGCATGAGAATCGCTCTGCTCTCATACAGTGGTGCTCGTTTTTCCTGTTGTGTATATTGATGACCTTGACCGGTGGTGTTTATCAGCCCCTGCAGGACGCACAACAAAATAAACCGCACGAGCACAACTCTTCGCGCTCGCGCGCTCTCATGAGAATGAAGCACGCGCCCTCGCTGCTCTTTTTTTCCCCGCAGAGTCCATAAAAGCCACCCTCTGGTCGCCGGGCAGCTGTTTCTCCGCGGGCATGACCTCAGCCTGGGTCCAGTTACCGGCTCAGCTGGCCGGACCAACCCCGGGGGCGAGGATGCTGCGTTCACTTGCTTCCCAAAATAGCGAAAATGTCAGGTTACCGCAAAAATGTGAAGATACCAGAAGTTGATTTGCCTCTTCTATTGTGATATTTGGCCTAACATTCCAGCAAAGTTCCTAAAATTATTTTGTTTAGGTCATTCATATGATACTTGTGAAGGACACTCCTTTAAAATAGCTTTTGTTTTAATAGTGACTATAGAAAACAAAAGTTCCCTACTTCTTATTATTGTTATGACTGTTTCTGGTCTGTTTTGAGATTACACAGGCAATACACATCAGCCATCAATTCACGAACTCAAACCAGTTACTGCACTTACAGTCTCATTAAATTGATCTACAGAAATCCCAATAATCTCACCAATATGCATGGCGCACTGTGTGCAGAGCCCTTTGGCTAGCAAAGCCTCTCAGGGCTAATGTGGATCATTTCGGACTCTGCAGGGAGCCCGTGAAAGCATCATGTCTTTATCTTGGAGGGACAAATGCACCCCAGTTTCAGCCAAAAATATAAATAAACATTTAAATTGGTAGAGTATTACTCCTAGGCTTATGCTGTAACGAGTAACAAAATAGTAAGAAGTTTATATACGCACACAAAATAGCACGTGAACTGTATTTACACAGGGATGAGTTTACACACACAAAAGAGAGGCGGAATCAGGAAACTACTATACAGCATGGCAGTCACTAAATAGGTATTTCCGATAAAGCCGTCCTCTTTCAGAATTGTTTCTCAAACACTGTTTGTTTAACCAGTTTTTACCCCCTCGAGCGCGCGCACAGGCCGTCAGTTCAGACTTTTGGGTGCTTTAAAGCAAAAGTTTGTTTAATAGAAACCAAATGGTATATTGTCACCGCGTTTTTAGTTTCGTGCCACGTGTCTTTGGCCGTTTATCCCAGCTGTCCCACCATCCCGCCGGCGTCTTTTCACTGTTAATACTACACTTATTAACACGCGGGAACAAAACAAAAGATAATTAGCAAAATACGCATTTACTTACTTCAGTTGTGTGACTTCACTAAGAGGAAAGCGCCTTTTTTAAAACAAAAAAAGGCTCTTGAACTGCTCACTACAGAGTATCAACTTTTCTATTTAAAAAAAAACAAACTTTTAATGTTCTAAATGAGTAGTGAGCCCTATATTACAGTTTCCCCCCTCAGTTTCTTCTTTGTTGAGGATTGTGCTGAGCTCCTATTAAACTCTCCACTTCTTAGCTCTTTAGCTTCATTTGAGACAACCCCTCTTCTCTCATTTGACTTCTAATTCCCACCCTCTTCTACGGCTGGAACACGCCCTGCTGTGCCCATGCTCTCTACAGAACAAGTTCCTACCAAATTGCTGGTGTGACTGAGGCTTTGTGGCCACGGTTGGTAACAGAACAGTTAGTTAGAGTTTTGATAATCCGTCTTTAAAGAAGCAGACTAGATTTAACTGTTCAAATGTCCCTTTAAATGACACTATTCATATCATACAAAACAACAGTGCTGATTGTTTTCTTAATGGATTTTAAAACACCATTCTGATGCTTCAAAATGATCCTGTCAACAAGCGAACATTAACCAGTATGGAGTTGTATAATCTGAGTAATCTACACTCATGAAAGCTGAGTGCTCCATTAGTGCTTCCTCAGAAATTATAAGGGTAAGTTCGGAACAGCCAAGTGCTTCTGATCTATTGTACTTAATGAATTAATCATTGGCAGATGTTAGTGCCAATAATAATGATAATAATACGGTGCCAAAAAGGAAAGACATCTGCAGAGAAGCAGCTGTGGCAGCACATCAGTATGGGAGGGTTTCAAACCATTTCTGTCTCTCTACAGTGAGAAAGATTATTCCCAAACTGAAAACATCCAGGCTTCTACAAAGCTATGCGCTTCTGGAGCAACATTTTATCAATAGATTACGCTGATTGGGAGATATTTATTTGTCATGGGAGATATTTGCATGTTGCTTAATAATTCATAGCAATACTTCACTCAAGTTGATGAAAGTTGCCTGGTTTTACAGGGCCTGGACACCCTGCTTCCAGTCAACTTGTCGCTCAATGAAAACATCTTGTGACCTAAGAAATGAAAGAAAAACACAGAGCAGGCAGACAGCTGTTGTACTGCGGTCCTGCAAAAGGGCGTTTTACTTTCAGTACAGTTCAGTTCAGCTGCATTCCAGTTCAATTAGACCATTCCCAGTCTTATGGAAATGCTTTCTGCCCTCAATTAAAAAACGAGAATGTATTAACAAATATTCTCACATTGGGTTTGTTGTATTTGCATTTTATTCTTTTCAATTATAAAGCAAGCACCCTCCAAACATAAAAACGGCTCAAAAGGTTAAATTAACTGCACAGAGTGGAGATTGTGGGGCATTATTACCGATGGTCAAAACTAAATACAGAGTCACATTCTTACGCATCCAGTTAATGACAATAGAAATTATATATTAACTCATCAAAAGAGACTTCCAAACAGGGTTAGTGGTGAGTCTGTTCCTGTGCAGCTCACAGAAGGTCATATCGGCAAATAGAGGCAGGATTACTTAGAACTAACACTGAACTGAGAAGGTCTTATTCTAAAGGAAACCTGTTGCAATTTTTAAAATAAACTGGAGCATTTTTCATGGAATTTATCTTCACAATGAATTGGCTCTTACTGTAATTATTGGAGACCCGTGCAGCTAATGACAGAGCACAATTAAGGTTTTTGGGTCACAAGTGGAAAAATAGAGACAGTTATCAGTGTAACCCTGCTGTGTTTATGGAGCAGCCAGCTTTAAAATCTTCTTGGAGCCCCGCTCTGGTAATCTTTTAATAATTTTGGCTTCCATACAAAAGCATTAGTCCTGCTTATGTTTGACACTGACGTGGCCTGAATCTGCAAATCTGCACCCTGCAGGGCTTCACGGGGAAGTGCCCAGCACTTCATTTCACATCTATAGCAATTTGTTGCACCGTTTGCAGGTTAGCCACCGATTTGCAGTGGGTTACGGAACATTTGCTCTTTCTGCAGGTGTAAATCTGGGACTCCAGGGCCCCAGATTCTTAATAGAATAATCCTGTTGGAATTTGGGCGCTTTCCAGCTGTGACACCTGGGAACGTGACCTTTAACCTCACCTGCTTACTCCAATGTCCATGTGAACATGTCAGTGAACACTCGGGTTGGCTTTGTTGGACTGGACTTTCTCCACAGCAGGGAAGTCCAACAGACACAGATGCACAGTGGAAGAGGAGAAAATGAGGGGAACTCTTAATGGCCACTTTTCTTTTCTTTTTTTTTTGACCGGTAAGCAGCGGCGGGCTACTGGCTGACATCTGAAGACAGTAATCACAGATTATTTGAAAAGAAATGGAACAGAAAGTCTGTGGTGGACTGGCAGACCGTCCAGGGTGAACCCTGCCTCCCCCCCATTGACTACTGGGATATTTTATCCACCCTTATGGTTCTCCACTAAAGCCCGTCTCTTTGTCTGCACTCTCCATCAAACTTTAATTCAAGTTGGATTCCTAAGACTCCCCCCGCTCACGAGCTAACCTGGGACCCCCCCAGGACTTTTTCAAGGAGCCAGAAGACATACTGCTCCATCTGTTGTTCAGATGAATGAGCAGTTGTCTGCTAACCAGGACGTCCATGGTGTGATCCCATCACTTCTCCACAACACATGACAAAGTGTCCTCAGGCAAGACTCAGGCCCTCTGAACTGACCATTGTTATGTGGCTGTGCATGAAGAGAAGAAACACTGTCCAGCTTCATACACATGATGACCAGAGAAGTGATCGGTGAGCATGCATGTGGATGGATGGAATGGAAGAATGTGGCTTTTAGGGCACAATAACCCAAAAACAGCACAAAAATTATCATTATCCCTGAGAATAGTCTCTCTTTGAAAGTTGATGTCGTCCCGTGTTGGGATTTGGAAGGGATACATTTAAGAACAGGACCTTAAGTTGACTTCTGATGCAGGAGAGCAGTTGGTGGTTTGATTCACAGAATGTGTGTTACAGGAGTAGACTGCTGTATTTTATTTGATTTGTAAAGCTAAAATGAAGCTGAAATATACTGCATGCGTGTTTTGAGTGGTCAGCTGAGCTAGAAACATGCCACAGTATATAAATATAGTTTATTTGTAATTTTTACAAAAAAATACACTTTATTTGAGTTAATATTTGATGATAGTCTTGTCATTTGCAAAATATTTCCTTCGTGACTGCTATTTTAAGCAAATAGGAGAAGGTCAGATAAAGATCAAATCTTGGGTCTTGATCATTTTATTTGTTTTTTTGTATATTTATTCAAGGTTTGGTAAGTAAAGGATCGAGAAAAGATCTTGAAAGCTGGTCCTAGTGTTTGAATGAGTGTTCGAAACTAAAACGGAACCCTCAGAACAAAGGGACACAAAACATAATTTCTTTATTAAATTATGCAGAGTCAACCTCACATTCTGTTTACTAAGTGGCAAATAGTCAATTATGTCAACATTTTCTTCTCTCTGTGGTCAGGTGATTTATTATTACTTTGGAGAAGCTAGATTATGTATCATGAATGCTCTAACTGTGGTTTTGCTCCCATTCTGAGAACAGTGTTTGAGTCCCTCAGTTAAAAACACACTTTTGCTTGAGAACTAGAATGCTTTACTCTCTTTCTGGCGCCAGAACAAAACTGACTGAACCAGCGGTCTGTATTTGTGGTGGAGGACTCCACCTGCTTGAGAGTCTGGTGTACTGACAAAAGATTCATGCAGCAAGTTCAGTTTCATACGTCATCACTCTGCATATCATGCAAAGGTCCAAACGTTAAAGATTAAGTGATGAATTTAGATTATTTCAATCTTCTCATACTTTAACCAGAAGGATTCTGGTGGATGTTCCAATGCACTGGCCAGACCGCCACTGGGGAAGTTATTTAACAGATTAATTGATGTGTGACAAACGTGGCAGCCAAAAACATGAACCCCCTGGTATTTTATATTAAATGTCAAACAGTGAGAGTGTCCAAATGCTACATTAAGTGGCTGTGTCTCAGTATTCTGTCAGTAGGGAGTTAACACAGGCAGACGTTCAAACCCATTGATTCTGCTCCACATATGTCACAACGCCAGAGAACGAACAAACATCTGTAACACGGTGAGCAGCAGATGGACTTTGGATGAACGGGACAGGCTGACGGCTGAGCCAGAACACCTCATCCGGCCTGCACACAGACTCACCAAATAAAAAAACACGCTGGTTTACTGTGTCATTTCACACAAACCTTGTCATGGCATATTGGTTTTTGTTTCTTATTTTAATGTGATTTGTTTCTTGGTTATTTGTGAGGGAGTCTGTGGTTGTCGCTCTCCTTTAGTCCTTCCATCCTTGTGGAATTTTGTTAAGGACCATCTTCCGGTTTGTGATTCACACCTGAATTTACCTGTGACAGCAGCTCTGTGTCGGCACATCCCTCAGTACATATACCGCCCGGTTCTCTTTCCTAACGATGTGTTCATAGCTTAATGTCATGTGTGAGCTCTTTTCTGCCTCTCACTGCTTTGCTTGTAGACTTCTTGACCTCCTGCCACAGGAATGCCCTATACGAGCCCGCATTTGGATCTTCATTGCTCAACCAAGCAAACGACTATAACACAGGTGAAGAAACACAGGGTGTACGACTTGATGTGTACTCACCTGTCCTCCACAGCTTCACACACCACGCATCTCCCATCCACTCCTCGTATGCAAGTGCACCTGGTGAGAAAATTCATATCAATTAAAAAAAATATAAGATAATTGTTTCTTTGCTCAGGAAGGGAGAACTGGTCATAGAAAAAGCTTAGTTCTCACCACTTTTTCTATTTGTCTGCTATGTCAAACCGTCATCAGGAGTCTGACAGACATGTGAGAGTTTTTGCATAAGGAAAACTCTCACATGTCTGTCAGACTACCTTGGCTTTCAACTGCAACCCCTTGTAAGATCCAAATGAAGCAATGTGTAAGCATCTAGGCTGTCGAGTTCATTTGTGACACAATATCCTAAATTCCCATTTGAAGTTGGTCAGTGGTTCATACTGGCTGCCTAAAAGAAAGTGCTCTCATTTCCCTGGAAGTAAAGATGTCAGTATCATATTATTATATCAGTGTTGACTACAGTTGACATTTAGGATGGAAGAGATAACTGGTGAACATCATCATGGTGGTATTGTTGTGAAAAAGTCTGCTGTTTGGAAACTAAAGCATATGGATTTGCCAGCCAAATGTTGATACAGTTGC